GAAAGGCTTCAAATTAAGTTTAATAACTAAGTATACAATTATTTGTATGATTATAAAATAATATTGTTTTCCTTTCTACCGTATGTTTTAAAAGTGACATTGATGTACCTTGTTCTTTCTGGGAAACTTCTACTTAAACTGTAGCTCACTTGTTTTGGGAATGTAGTTTTGTTCAATCTTTTTTGAAAATGCTTTCATTATCCAAAATAATCTTAATCATTGTTTTAGACTTAATCAAAACCCCTTGTTTTGGGTTTTACACTAATATATATTGTAATATTTTATATCTATAAATGTAAATAAATGCAAACCCCTTTTTAGCATATTCAAACAAGAAGTATTAGCCTAAAGAGTGTTGTTTCAACTCCAAGAATTTGTGCTTATTGCTTTGTATTTAAGAGGCCTGTTCATTTTTAGGTTCTTATTACCCTGTTGCTTCCCTTTATTTCTCTCATGTGTTTGTTATACATATAATTCATAATTCCCTTATTGTTTAAATATAGACTAGTTTGTAGAGACATTCTGTTTTATTTGTACTGTAAATCTTTTGTTGTCATAAATAATAAAAAAAAATAATGATGACGCCATGTGATCGGTCATTATGACTGCCACAACTTTGAGCCTCGAAGTGTCCTGCTGTCCAGCTTGACAGCTCTGTTTTCAACTCCACCCCCACCTGCGCTTGGCTAATCTCGTTGATCACCAGTTGCAGCCATGGTTCAAGTCAAATGCAGCTATTAACTTCATTCTGAAATGAATCAGCCATTTGAATAAATTCAATAAATAACTGATTGATTAAGTTTCAACGAGAATAATTTGTCCGATAAATGTGCTATGTTTTATGCAAATAATTCAATTAAATAATCAACACATTTTTCTAATTCAATAAAATAAAAATTGATTGACAGCCCTAGTAAAGATGTATTGTTTAGAATTCATGACATTTATGTTTTTTAATTCCTATTTTCCACTGGCATGTCAGCTGTTCAGAGACTAAAAGCCATCATGAATAATCATCTGTACATTTAACTGCAGTTGCAACATGGATCTGATTAATAATCTTGCTTCCTCTCTTATGACACATGCAATCTGCTCTTGAAAATGTATGAAATTTGGAGTATGCATGTCCCCTGCGGCAAACCAATGGGATTTATAGAGGAGCTCCTGTCTGAAACCACACTTAATATAAAAAATATAAAAAATGTGTGACATGCCCTTATCTCAAAGCCTGCATTTGACCTTTAGTGTCGCACGCGTTAAAAAAAATCAAAATGTCACAGGAAAAAAGGCTTACACTACAAGAATATACATCAATCATGCTTTTGCTATACTTACTAGTACAGTATGGATTGCCATTGTCGGTAACACTTTATAATAACTACACACTATAAATCATTTATTAAGCATTAGCAAATAGTAAACTCATTATCTGTTAAGCATTAACTCTACATTAATAAGTGCTAGTAAGCAGTTTATAACTGCAGCTACAAATGTTCCATTCTTGACTTATAAGCACCTATATATTGTGGTTAATGATTGTATTTTAATACTTAGTTAATGATTTATTTTTCATTACTAAATTAAATATCGAATTATTTACAAACTGTTTGTATTTAAGAGTAGGATCATTCAGAATGAGTTTGTAAATGATTAATAAACTAATGAAATCAACATTTATATGTCTTATTATTCAGGCATATATTAATGGTTACTATGTATGTAAATAAATGCTTTATTAACTCAACTTCATGCAGTTTTGTGACCTAATCTAAAGTGAGGACTACTCATGCTTTATAAATCCCTTATAAATGACAAATAAGGCTCAGTTAAATTCTAAACAGGAAAAAAAGACATTATTCATTTCTCTTCATTTAAAGATTCACAAATGAAACTGTACTTCAAATGAGAAATAAATCTTTGCAACCTGATCTAAAATAGAATCACTGTAGAGTTTAAACATTACATCTTATTATATTGTTAAATGATTATATTGTTGTTGTTTTATCCAGTTGGATGTCATATTTTGACACTCCTGTTATTTTGCAATGTTTAAACTTTACAGTAATTTTACTTTTTAGAAAGATTGCACAGATTATCGTTCATTTGATACTGAGCCTTTAATAGTCATTTATAAGGCATTTATAAAGCATGAATAGTCCCCACTTTAGATTAGGTCACAAAACTGCATGAAGTTGAGTTAATAAAGCATTTACTAACATATTAGTTAACTATTAGTATATGCCTGAATAATAAGACATATAAATGTTGATTTCAATAGTTTATTAATCATTTACTAACTCATTCTGAATGATCCTACTCTTAAATACAAACAGTTTGTAAATAATTCGATACTTAATTTAGTAATGAAAAATAAATCATTAACAGAGTATGAAAATACAATTATTCAGCACATTATATAGGTGCTTATAAGTCAAGAATAGAGCATTTGTAGCTGCAGTTATAAACTGCTTACTAACACTTATTAATGTAGAGTTAATGCTTAACAGATAATGAATTCACTATTTGCTAATGCTTAATAAATGTAAGAAATAAATGCTTTAAAAAAATGTATAGTGTGTAGTTATTATAAAGTGTTACCCCATTGTCAAATTTTAAACGATGCGACCCGCTGCATTCAAGTTGGCATTAATAAAATTCAGCGCATTCCAGATTGTTAGTGATGTCTCTTTAAACTGCATCGCTTCTTGCAGATGTTCTAATACACAAGATTGTTTCAAGGTATCATGGTTTTCTGCAGCGTAAAGAAACCATTTTCACTCCTGCAAAACTCCTGTGTAAGATGTGTAGAGCTGCTTGATGGTAAATTTGTTTATGTAAATCTCAATTATCCTTTTCTGAACTGCAGTGCTCTCAGTTTTCCACTTGCTACCCAATGTGGTTTAAATATTTATCTGGTGTGAGCTGTCACCGTAGGCAGCCTCAGAGACTGCTCATTTAGATACGACCTATAATGGCTTTCACAAATCCTGTGGACTTCCTTTGGGAACAAAAATGCATTAGTAAGTCTTTTTCTTAAACTTCTCTGAACGCTGTTTTGGAAACTAATATAAATTTTTTGTCAAACTTTCTCATTTCTCTAAGTGGAAGTTTTCAGGAGGGAAACTGGACTGGCAGGGGAGGGTTGACTTGGCATGCTCAGAACAAAACAATTTTCCCATATTTTAGATTAAACTGATGTGATGGGTTGCAGATGCTGCAGTAAACGTTGCAGACATTGTAAACATTGAAACAAGCATGATTTTGGATTAAAATGCTCTGCAGTTTAAACTTGCTGGAGTTACTGTCGTGCTGTCAAACAAGCGACATACTCCAAAGACATAATATTTTAATTATGTAAATTAATTATACATGTTTGAAGCAAGGTTTTGACTTTTAGGCAACCTCTAGTAAAATGATTAAATAATTGAATAATTTGTTGCGTAAGCACAATCATTGAGAGTTATAATGTAGCCTTTTTTATCGCATATAAGATGCTGAATGTAACTTACTTGGCATGTAAATTTAATGAACATATAAGACATAAGATTAATTAACTATATCTGTCATAAGCACAGTCATTTTTAATACACAGTAGATTGAATTTATTGTTAAGATTTATGTTTTCTTCATGCTGTATTTTGAGCACAACTACAAAAACAGCTGCAGAATATTCTGTGAGCTACAGTACAGTTCTACCGCCAAATTTCCAAAACAATCAAGGCAATTAATAGTTTAATAGTACATTAAAAATAATTGAATTATAATTTAATAATGTTTAAAAATAAATAAATAAATGAATATATAAAAATGAACACTTGTTGAGTTGTTTTAATCCAGATTTGGGTCAGATTTTGACAAACCTAACATTTTATGTTTCAATTTTTAAGACATCCATTGGGTTTGTCTATATTTAACCCAAGTTTGGATCGAAACAATTATGAATTTTGTCTTAGGTTAATAAGATGATTAGCAGTATTATTCCAACAAATTATATCAAAAACATTTTGCAACATTATTTAAATAAAAGTGGAAATTTTTCTTAGTGTCATACCAAAGCTATTTTGCAGTATGTGTTCGCTCTTATTATGCAACTGCTTAAGTACTTGAACAGGGCCAATATGTAAGTTATATTAGGATTAATCAGTTAACAAATAATCAATCAAAATACATGTTCAGATGAAATGAAAGATTTTTATGGTCACTCTTTATTTTAGGTACAATTCTCAATTAACAAACAATGACTTTTAGCTCAAACTAGTTATTTATTGCTTAGTAATTTTTGTTTGATTAAGGATGCAGATGACGACACGGTGGTGCAGTGGGTAGCACAATCGCCTCACAGCATGAAGGTTGCTGGTTAAAGCTCCAGCTGCGTCTTTTGGCATTTCTGAGTGAAGTTTGAATGTTCTCCCCATGTTCGTGTGGGTTTCCTCCGGGTGTTTTGGTTTCCCCTACAGTCTAAACACATAGATAAATTGAATAAGCTAAATTGGCAGTAGTTTATGTGTGCGCATGTCAGAGTATATGGGTGTTTCCCAGTTGGAGTTGCAGCTGGAAGGGCATCCGCTACGTAAAACATATGCTGGATAAGTTGGTGGTTCATTCCGCTGTGGTGACCCCTAATTAATAAAGAGACTAAGCCGGAAAGAGGATGAATACACTGTAAAAAGTGTTACTTAAATAAAACTTTAAAAAATTAAGGCAACATTTTCCAATTACTTTTTGTAAGTTTACTGAACTTCTTATTTTGATTTGGTAAAAATCAATATTATTATTTTAACGTTTGCAAAAAAATTAAGTAGAGTCTGCAATATAAAGCAAACTTTTTGAGTTTAACCAAAGTGTTAAAGATCAGTATATTGATCAAATAATACTTAATTAAAATAAGTAACATTTAAAATAAAAAAAATAATTTATTTGATTTTAATTAAATCATTTTCTCTATTACTCTTAGTTTGTACAAATTATTTTTTAATTCAACTTTAATAAGGAAAGAGAGGTATTTGTCAAATGTTTATTACTCTAACATTTGCCATACACAACAACTGGGTGCACTTATTATCAATTTCTAATCAAAAGTTTCTATAATCAATTTTATTGTTAATGTTGTAAACATTAAAAATTACAGAAACTTCTAACCTCATCTTTAAGCGCAGCATAGAAGACCTTTAAATGCAATCTGTACACTAACAATAAAATACAGTGAATCTTGACCTGAGCAATTTACATAAACAGACTAGCCTAAGTGCACAGTACAGTACATTTTCATATGTACTACAACATTGAAATAAAAAAAATAAAGTGCCTCTGATCTCAGCATTTGACAAAACAAAACAAACTTTGCCCCATATATACAAAAGCAAATCAAATGCCCATATTTGCTGCAGACCTATCCAGAAACTGAAGAAGTCGGTGCGTGACTACCACATTGTTCCAAGTCAAACTGTCCATTGAACAATAGTGATGAAGCAAAGAAACAGAACCTCTGAGCGGCAACTAATTAACTAACTCAGAAGTTTTTGTGTCATGAATCAGGAGGAAGACTTTGGACGCAGTGTGTCAAGTCCCACAAAATGTCTTTGAAACACCTGAAATGTTTTGCTGAGTTGTGGTGGATACTGCAAGTTCATAGCCCTGGCGTGGTTTCCAAGACGAGTAAGCACAGGGATGCCCTCAATGATGATGCCCACCACATCTGGAACACGGCAGACATATATCTGCATATTGCGCATTTTCAAGTCTTCATAGACACTGTTCTCTGTTTTTCCCTGTATGAGAATAAACAGAACAATAAGTGGCAAAACTGAAAAAGCCATTCTGACAGTTATATTGTCAGATGATTATGATTTTTGCATAATGTAAAACAAGGATTTTACTTTTGTGAAACTGCAGTTAAAAATGACATTATTTTTTAAATCAAGTCTACAAGCAACTAAAAGTCCAAAAGGTTAACTTGGGACCCTGGTTCCTGCATATTCATTTAGGTGTTTGTAGGCGTGTTTCGAATGTTTGACAGAGCTCCATCTCAGTACTATAATTCAGTCAGACATAAGATTGATATCTGAGGAATGTGCGCCTTTCCCAAAAAAGTCAAACTATGCTTTTTAAACAATACTTACATAGTAGTCAGAGATCAGCTTTTGCCCACTCTCTCCCATGTATTCAATGAGGCATCTCAGAGCCACGTCTCTCTTCCGCACCACAGAGGTACTTGAATCCTATAGTTGGTAAGTGAATAATGAAAAAACTGAATATTGCAGGCAATATAACTACAAACGTAAAATGTCATTATCAGTGTGGTTCTGTACAACCTATTCAACAGAGTTCAACTCTATCTATCTATCTATCTATCTATCTATCTATCTATCTATCTATCTATCTATCTATCTATCTATCTATGTATATACACACATACACATACATACATATATACACACACAGACACGCACATATACATATATACACAAATAACACATATACATATATATATATATATATATATATATATATATATATATATATATATATATATATATATATATACACATACGCACATACATATACACAGACACAGAGACACACACACGCTTTTTTTATATTTACCCTTAAAATTAATGACTTTGTTTTGCACTATTTACCTATTAGGCAAGATGAGTAAATAAAGTACTTATTGCATAAACATGCATCAGCCACATTGTTACCATGTTTGCCTTACCTGTATCAGTTCCAATAACTCCAATTGATGTTTTCACCAGTCGCTGCACCCTTCGCACTAAACAGGTCAAGAAGTTTTGGAGTTTATTTGTCCAGCTGGGACATAAAAACCGATTCTTGTGGAACACCAGTACACCTTTAGAATTCTTCATTTTTCTGTAATACATCAATTGTTTGTCTGTTATTTGGAACCAAATGTGTAAAGAATTGGCAACCTTTTATTCCTATGCAATGAAATCCTCCATAAAACATGTGAGGTAAAATTTTCAGTATGTGTTCAGCAAAAAGTGTGTCTAGCATAGCATCACATAAACATCTTCATTCACCATTATTTGCCAAGCAGCATGTCATTGATAAATCATTTACCTGGGCAGGCCATCTTTCTTTAATTTTTGCACATCTGGGCTCTGGACAACCACTTCCATTCTCCCCCAGCTATATGTCCTAGCCATCATGTCATTTATGCTTCTGACATCTCTCTAAAAAAGCAACACAAATTAAAAGAAGAGTTTAGGTAAACGTCAGATTCATTGACAATATTGCAATGCAAATAAACATTTAATCTTTTAAATTGAACAAATGATTTAAGGCAAATTAACATATTTCAAACAAATTATCAAAAGATAAAGTTAAACCTTTAACAATTTTTATGATACATTGCAGAGATAGGTGGTAAAAATATAATGTCCTCATCTTTTTCAATCAAGCAGGAAATACATTTGTGACTACAAACTTAGCCGTTAACTTATAACTGACACATGTACGAGTAAGATAGCCCATGCTAGTGGTGTTCTGCTAGCTAATTCGGAAAGAGGCATAACATTTAAGACGAATGATTTGAGACAGAATAATTCACATTCACCAAAGCTATACTAGACAAACAAAATGACAATGTTTTTTTGTAAAAGTACATAAAACAAAGTAGAAACATAATCTGGCAATATATCTAACATATTTCGATCCTACGTTTGCGATAGTTGTTTTAAGATTAATGTTAAATTCCGTACTTTCGGTAAGGCCGCATGGCGCTTGCAAAACTGACAAACTTAACCGTTACTGTCATGAAAGGCGACTTGTTTACATTTTACAGTGCAATAAATGCGTGCTCAGTCGGCTAAAACCTAACTTTATGCAATGTAAATAGTTACTTACATGTGTTGCACGTTGTATAAAGCCCTCAAAAACTCCACAGAACGTCGAAACTGGTCCGGTACAGGTATGAGCAACGGTGTCGTTGCTCTGCATGCGTTCTGCGTCATGTGGGCGGGTCGTGAAGTTTTACTTTGGATATAAACACTTAAATAGAGTTTTGTAGAAGCAATTTATTTTGAAGGTCAGTAAAACACAAATTTTTGATGGGTAATAATAAGTTACAAAAACAATCGCAATTTTTACTTATGTAAAACTTAAATTAATTCAAAATGGAAAGGTAATCAATTTATTGGAAGAAATATACTTTTTAAAATTAACTCCTATGGACAACACCCTTGAACTTTTTACAGTGTGCTTTATTAAAGTTCACTCTTCATCCGCGGAATAATAGTCCTCCTGACCGGATGAGCAGTGCAGGTGTGGCGGTAGCCCCTGCTCCTCCTCCAGATGCTCCAGCGCACGGATCTCCTCCAGTATGTCTGCCGGTAAGCTGATCTCCAGCGGCCGCTCCATCAGCAGCAGTTTCCGGCAGTAGTGTCTCTCGGTGCGGTCTACGGGCTTCGGAGGGAAAAGTTCGGTGCTCAGCAGGGCTTTGATCGGCCGGTCCCGGAGGTTTATCCGCAACACGCGGTGCGGTCTCCCGGGCACCCGCGGAGGCCGAAAGTCCCACCAGTTCTGCTCGGTTTCCCGCAGGAAGTGCTGCAGGTTCCGCAGCTTCAGCAGGCTCCGGGGCCCGCGGGTGGGGAAGCGCAGCTCGTGCTCGAGCTCGAAGTCTTCTATCCAGTCCCAGTGCTTGGGTCTGGTCCTCCGTTTGACTTGTCGGCGGAAGGCCTGCAGCTGCTGGTATTTGCTGTGGATGTAGGAGCAGCACTCGTTTATCTGGGCCGCGATGGACCTCGCAGTTCTCGCAATCGTCTTCGCCATCGCGCGCTGGGAAACAGTGTAAACAGCAGTAAAGTGGAATGTAAGTTTGATAATCCGACAGAGAAATTACGGTTTAAAAGAACCCGCGCGTGTTCCGAGAGTGACGTCAGAGCCAGCAGCACGCGCCTTCCAAAAATGACGTCAATCCCAGCAGCCAGCAGTTGTTGTTACAAGTGATTATTTTCTGTACTTGATGATTTGGGGAACTTACTGTGTTATGAACGCTTTATGACTGTTTGTGACTTTCCTACTCACTTCAGAGATTATAATACTGTTCGTAGAGATATCCCCACTGGTGTAATGCATCTGGGCAATAGTCATATACAATACATTAAAATAATAAACATAATCATTTATGCATCACGGTGGCACAGTGGGTAGCACAATCACCTCACAGCAAGAAGGTCACTGATTCAAGTCCCGGCTGGGTCACAGTCCGATCACATGCGCTTTAGGGGAATTGATCAACTAAACTGGCCGTAGTGTACGAGTGTGTGTGTGTAAATGAGAATGTATGCATGTTTCCCAGTAATGGGTTGCAGCTGGAAGGGCATCCGCTGAGTAAAACATTCTGGATAAGTTGGCGGTTCATTCCACTGTGGCGACCCCTGATTAATAAAGGGAATAAATCGAAAAGGAAATGAATGAATGAACAGATCCATTTAATTCCCCAGCAAAGTCATCGTATTGTTCTGTGAGGCAGATTCTGTTGGGTTGCATTAGTTAATAATATAGACTGGAGAAAAGCTTGGTTGTTGCCTTATAAATACTTTCTTCCTAATAAAAATAAAGGCATTTTAAAATACTGCAATAAAAATCTCATTTATTTACAAAGATGTTGATATTCCGAGTCGTTCTCCAGTTTGTGGTAAGGATGATGAAACTGTAAAACTTTTATTTTGTATGTGTGAATGTGTGAAGTTTTGGTTTGACTTGCATTATTATTTAAACACTCCTCCTATCTTTAAGTTTAAAATAAATGATTTATTATTACATAGATTTTGCACATGAATCTGAAGACTTTATCTTTATCTTTTTTATTTTGTTAGGAATTTTTGTTTTCCACATTTTCTGATTGAAGTGGACTGCTTAAATCCTTCTGTATGTGCAACAACAAAAAATGTGTCCGATTTTTGTTATTACAGTTGAAGTCAGAATTATTAGCCCACCTGTTTATTTTTCCTCTGTTTATTTACAGGTGACATTACCTGCTGTTAATGTCACTTGTATTTTCCCTCTCTTGTATCTCTCTTATATTGATCTCCTGATTGTAATTGTATATTTTCATTCATGAATTTAGGAAAATAATTGAAAACATTTTTGCAACAAGCGATACAAGTGAACCATTCTATCTTTCGGATGAGACGTTAAACCGAGGTCCCGACTCTCTGTGCTCGTTAAAAATCCCAGGATATCCTTGGAAAAAGAGTAGGGGTTTAACCCTGGCATCCTGGCCAAATCTGCCCAATAGCCTCTGTCCATCATGGCCTCCTGACCATCCCCATATCATCACTGTCTTCATCACTCTGTTTCCTCTCCACCAATCAGCTGGTGTGCAGTCTGGTGCAGTATGGCTGCCGTCGCCTAATCCAAGTGGATGCCGCACACTGGTGGAGGATGAGGAGATTCCCCTCAATGTGTGTAAAGCGCTTTGAGTGCCAAGAAAAGCGCTATATAGATGTGAGGAATTAATATTATTGTTATCATATAGTTTAGATTATGTATTACAATACCCATACAATTTGAATTAAATACATTTTATTAACATCTACCCCAACCTTCACAGTGTAAAAGCAGTAATATACTCGTATCATTTATTCAATTACCCAGTAAACAGTATTTTATTAAGGTCTACCCCAAACTTAAGCCCAACCCTCACAGTACGGTAAATATATACATATAATTGTTGTACAATGTCACAAAAATGATGCTATATTTATGCAAGTAGGCTCAGTGGTTAGCATTGTGGCCTTGGAAGGTTGCTGGTTTGAGTCCCGGCTGGGTCAGTTGGTGTTTCTGTTTGGAGTTTGCATGTTCTCCCCATGTTGGCATGGGTTTCCTCCAGGTGCGATAGGGGAATTGATGAACTAAATTGGCCATAGTATATAAGTGTGTATGGGTGTCTCCCAGTACTGGGTTGCAGCTGGAAGGGCATCCACTGTGTAAAACATATGCCAGAGTAGTTGGTGGCTCATTTCGCTGTGGCAACCCCTGATAAATGAAGGACTAAGCTGAAGGAAAATGAATGAATGATGCGAGTATCTGCAGCTGTATCCCTTCTAAACTTTACCCATTAAAACTGAGCGTGTGTGTGTGTGGATCCTCATGGGGGTTTGAGGTGTCCAACTGATGCCTGTTGTGTACACAGTACAGTACATTTTCATATGTACTACAACATTGAAATAAAAAAAATAAAGTGCCTCTGATCTCAGCATTTGACATAACAAAACAAACTTTGCCCCATATATACAAAAGCAAATCAAATGCCCATATTTGCTGCAGACTTATCCAGAAACTGAAGAAGTCGGTGCGTGACTACCACATTGTTCCAAGTCAAACTGTCCATTGAACAATAGTGATGAAGCAAAGAAACAGAACCTCTGAGCGGCAACTAATTAACTAACTCAGAAGTTTTTGTGTCATGAATCAGGAGGAAGACTTTGGACGCAGTGTGTCAAGTCCCACAAAATGTCTTTGAAACACCTGAAATGTTTTGCTGAGTTGTGGTGGATACTGCAAGTTCATAGCCCTGGCGTGGTTTCCAAGACGAGTAAGCACAGGGATGCCCTCAATGATGATGCCCACCACATCTGGAACACGGCAGACATATATCTGCATATTGCGCATTTTCAAGTCTTCATAGACACTGTTCTCTGTTTTTCCCTGTATGAGAATAAACAGAACAATAAGTGGCAAAACTGAAAAAGCCATTCTGACAGTTATATTGTCAGATGATTATGATTTTTGCATAATGTAAAACAAGGATTTTACTTTTGTGAAACTGCAGTTAAAAATGACATTATTTTTAAAATCAAGTCTACAAGCAACTAAAAGTCCAAAAGGTTAACTTGGGACCCTGGTTCCTGCATATTCATTTAGGTGTTTGTAGACGTGTTTCGAATGTTTGACAGAGCTCCATCTCAGTACTATAATTCAGTCAGACATAAGATTGATATCTGAGGAATGTGTGCCTTTCCCAAAAAAGTCAAACTATGCTTTTTAAACAATACTTACATAGTAGTCAGAGATCAGCTTTTGCCCACTCTCTCCCATGTATTCAATGAGGCATCTCAGAGCCACGTCTCTCTTCCGCACCACAGAGGTACTTGAATCCTATAGTTGGTAAGTGAATAATGAAAAAACTGAATATTGCAGGCAATATAACTACAAACGTAAAATGTCATTATCAGTGTGGTTCTGTACAACCTATTCAACAGAGTTCAACTCTATCTATCTATCTATCTATCTATCTATCTATCTATCTATCTATCTATCTATCTATCTATCTATCTATCTATCTATCTATCTATCTATCTATATATATACTTTTTAAAATTAATTCCTATGGACAACACCCTTGAAGAACTTTTTACAGTGTAAGTATGCAGACTAAGATCATGAGGCATAAACAAGTACTTATAGAAAGCCAATATCTCAATCAGAGGTGCCCAAACTAGGGCTCGCGGGTCAAAATTGGCCCATGGTAACCTTTGATTTGGCCCGCCATCCCATCTAAGGGAGAGAGAGAATTATGGGGATTGTTTAGAGATTCAAACTTTACGTCACCTTTTATTGGTTTGTTTTATTGCTAAGCTACTAAAATTAAATGTTTCCATTTAAATGGTTTGAGTGAATCAGATTTAGTTTAAAATACATACAGTATCTTGATGCTTAGAGGACAATGCAGAGACTTCAGTGAGCGGATCGAGGCAAAGGCAGATTCTGCTTGACTAGTGTATTCAGCATTAGACTCCACTGTGTTATAAATGTGATTGCTTATGTTTTTATTGCAATGAGTTATACTTAAAAACGACATACATGGCATAGCTAATACGATTCAAAGTAAGGTTTTCTTTTTTTATGGATATTATGAAATGAATTAGCAAATTACCCTGCTGAAAAATCCAGATTAAACCAGCCTAGGATGGTTGGCTTGTTTTGTTCTAAAACCTGGTTTTAGAGGGGTTTAGATGGTTTCCAGCCATTTCCAGCCTGGCTAGGCTGGTCAAGCTAGACCAGGCTGAAAATAGCTGTAAACCAGCCTGAAAATGGCCAAAAAAGCTGGATTTTCAGCAGGTATACCCATTGCCAACTGCAATGTAAAATAGTTTGATATATTTATCTGCTCTCAATAATATTTGGTTTTTGGCCTTTATGCCAAAAGGTTTAGGCTCCCCAGATCTTAATAACAGGCAGGTAATAAAACATTATTGTCAATTGTTCCCTAATGTGTTACCTTTATCATTATTATTAAATGCATTATCTTTGTAAAAAAACAAGACTCTAGTGATCGTTTGATGGAATCTGTCCCCCGTCTCATGAGCTTTAAAACACAGCACTCTGTTTACCAAAGAAGTAGCCTGTCTGCTCGGAGGTGTAATGAATTTCTTTTTCTTTGTACTGCGGCTTCGCTATAAAGCTCAAGGACATGATGTCCACTCCTATCCTCTAGAAGTTGACATAACTGACAATGAAAGAAGGCCGCGCTCTGCCTCCCGAATAATAACCGAGCTTCAAATAAAAACAATTCGGATTTTTCGACGTCGCAAACCTAATGCGGCCTGGCAGATCAAACAGCGGGGGTCATCGCGCAATCCCATGCCTTCAGTGCGCTTGTGTGGTGACTTAATTGAAGATGTTTGCTTTTAATGAAAGCATGAGAACGTGAGGACGCGCGGCCTGTTTGGCATGCAGAGGAGAGTGTGACGGAGTGTCAGAGATGTGCCTCCAGCTCTCAGACAACAGCTGCTCTGAATGAGAGGGCGTCCTGGGGCTGCTGAGACACAGACAGTGACTCTCTCTGCTGGTGCGGGCGCGAGAGGCGTGAGGAGCATCAGAAGCTGGACGACAGCCAGAGCATGGGATTTACGCTGGAATTCTTTCTTTTGCTTTCGCTCAACTAATAATAATGTTTGTTGTTTAAGGTGTGTGGAATGGATCTGGTGTTGGTTGCGGATTTGCTGGTTAATGCCAACGGGAAAATATTACGCATGCAAACAGCTGTGGTTTAGTTTTAAGCTTAAAGTAAATAAAGGAAAGCTGCTGTAGACATTAAACCATTCTATTTTGATGTTCAGTTTTTTTTTTTAATCTTCTGGACATAATGCTTGTTAATGCAAGCATTGCTTCGTGTTAATTAAAGCAAAAGGAGCAGGTGCTGCTGTGTGTAATTTGATTGTGCAGAGCTTCCATTGTCAAAAACTGTTTATGTGCTGACTTATGTTATAAGCAGCACTTGCTACTCTATTTTTTTTTTTGCCCATATGGCAGAAGTGAAAGTCTTGCACAAAAAAGAAGATAGAAACAAAAATAAATGAATGGAAATCTGCATTGCAACAAATTAGATAAAGTAAATTAAGTATTCATGAGCTTATTATAATATATTTAAACAATGTTTTGGTAAAACATGTCAATTGTTAAAAAGCTATCTGTTTCCTTACCATATTTGGTGGGAAACTGTGCTAAATATACTTGATAATTTTTTTTTTCAGAAGAAAAATAAATACTTTTGTGTGACAGTTTTAATACTATACATTAACCCTTTGACTGCCCGCTCTACCAAAAGGTTGACCATGTTTACTGTTTTAAATATAAATGACTGTTAAAGTCATTAAATGAATGACTCTTTTAAATAATGGTTTACGCAGTATTGTTGGTTTACAAAAATCAAACAAACATAATCCTGTTCCACACTTGATTTTGGTTTTATTGTAAAAAAAAAAAAAAGGTGATATCTTAGAAATTATGGGATGTGTTGGAAAAATGCATTGAGTGTGTTAACTAGCAACATTAGGAGTTAAGAAATCCAATCCAAACATTTTTTTCATGGTGGGGTGGTTGAAGGGTTAAGATTATATTAAATAATAGATTTTTTGTTTTGTTTTTGTTGGCTATTTTATGTATAATGTCAATATTTAAAATAATTTAGTGTTCATTTGTTGCCATTTTTCCTCAAACTGTAGATTTCAGCGATTTTTTTTATTTTGTTTTTATTTTTATTTATTTATTTTAAATAAAGTGTTTATTCATTTGCATGAGCTGTTAAATAAATCCCCTAGCACTGATTGAATTAATTATGTTTCTTTGCAGCATTTAAGCCTATATTTTATTCATGAACTTTTATGCAGCTCATATACACTAGATGTACTGCTGTTTCATTATCTAAATGACATTTACAGGGTGTAATTTTATGGTTGTTTATGGAGGTTTTAGAGATTTAAGCCCAGATGAACTTGCATTTTGCATTTTTAATAGCACTGAAGTATAAACTGAAGCACCTCACTATTTCCCAACGGGAAAAATACTCAAGAAATGTATCACCAGCACTAGCCAACAAATGAAGATGACAAATTCTACATTTTCTAGGTCATGTAAAGAAATATTCTTCTTCAAAGAAATGATTCAGCACATCAGTGGCAGTGTGAATTTTGTGTTAGTCTTAGGGCAGCTTCATTCAAAATGTTCAAGAGATTTATGCTGATGCTTTTTAAAGACTTTGTAGAGAATTTACAATTAAACAAAACGATTAAAAACATCTAAATGTACTTAAAAAACTGCTTAAGTTCTATAATTAATTTTTTATGTAAATGATTTAAAGAGCTAGCAATATGCAAGGTCATTCATTGCAGCTCATGCATTGTGTATTTTACAGCCTATATTACACTTTTATTATAATAATATGTTTAATAATAATCTTTCCAAGTTTTCTTTGAATTTGTTTTCCTTTTATTCTTTTACATTTTGAAACCATAAAAATGATAGAGAAATTCAGTTCACACAAACAGTATTTTGACAGTTTGTGTGTTCTGTCTCAGGTGGTCATAAATGTTCAGCTCAGCTAGACCAGGTCAAGGCAGTGGTCCTCTGCTGAATTGAAGTTTCTTCAGTGTTTGTTGTTTTGACCGGCTGTTCTCCACACCTCAAATTTGAACTGGGTCACAACTGTCAGCTCTGTTCATGACAGACTGTCAGGTCTCCTATGTCTTCAGTGTTTGAGCTCAAGAACAATTTGGATTTAAATAACATTGCTGAGAAATTATGGACACCTATTTATCAGACAATTTATTTGAGAACCTATCAGCCATTATGGTTAGATCTTAAATTGTATAGTGCTTTATTTTACAGTCCTGTTTTGTGTGTACTGTACTCGGTAATAACTATGTACTGTATGTATGTATGTTTATGGTTTGATGAACATGGAAGTGAAGTTGAACATCTCTCATGGTCTGCACAGTCACCAGATATAAATATTATTGAGACACTTTGGGTTCAGAGAATATTTTCCTTTACCTGCAACACATAGTGACCAATGTGACCACCATTCTGCAAGAAGAAAGGGTCAAAATCCCTCTGGCAGCTGTGCAGAACTTCTGTTTGTCATTCTCAAGATGAAATGATGCTGTATTTGCCGCCAATGGGAAAAAGGAGGCCCTACACAATACTAATAATTTACTGTGGTCTAAAGGTGGCGCAGTGGGTAGCGCCTCGCAGCAAAAGGGTCGCTGGTTCAAGCCTCAGCTGGGTCAGTTGGCATTTCTGTGTGGAGTTTGCATATTGTCCCTATGTTGGCGTGGGTTTCCTCCAGATGCTTTGGTTTCCCCCACAGTCCAAAGACATGCGCTATAGGTGAATTGCGTAAGACAAATTGTCCATAGTGTATGTGTGTGAATGAGAGTGTGTAGGTGTTTCCCAGTGATGGGTTGCAGCTGGAAGGGCATCCACAGTGCGCGCACACACACACACATAAGTCTTAAGACAGCAAAGTGAAGAAAATGGTGCAGCTGCCAAGCTAAATCTTCACAGGCTGAAATTGTAATCTTTACTGCCATCGTGTGGTAGATTGACATATTACAAACTACATGGATTTAACTCACCTGTGCACAGCTTTTCAGCTACTGTATGCTACAGTTAATGAGATATCCTTTAAGAAAAAAATGCTTTAAATTACAGCATTTTGCGATATATTTATATTTCAGTAGAAATAAAAGCAGACAATTCACGTTAGGTGTCAGATATTAAATGACCTTTTAGATTTTGTAAAGTTAATGTAGTTGCTTGTTGACTTTGTGCTCATCCATTACCGCCTATGAAATAATGCTAAAATGCTGAAAAACACAATAACACATCATTCTGGCCTGTTGAGTGAAGGCTGGAGTATTTTGTTTGTTCCGTAGACGACGCAATATAAACGGCTCGGGGCAATGATACAATGTTAAACGCGACAATAGATCTCCCTCTCCGTTGATTATATCTCGTCTGTTTGTTACAGCAGCTTCTCTGTGGCCTTGGACTTGTCGTTTCAGTTCTGTTTTCCAGAACGAGCTGCTGTTGTCACGGTGACATGTATTATAAATGAATGTGGCCGAGGCTCAGTTCAGGCAACATTGTGTAATGTGTAGACGCCACATTTGAATCCTATATTTTCATATCTGTTCTGGCGAGATAAACGTTCAGCAACTGGATTAGTCGAGGCGTTAATTCGCAGAACATCAGTTCATACAGAGGCTGTTTTTGCGGCGTTAGGACCCTGGGGACTCGATCATAGCCACAGAGCAATTTGCATGCGTTTGTTCTGCAAGGCAAACACTGGTGTATGAGTGAAATCTAAACCACCGGAAGATCGAGGAACAGAGTCGCACACACGCTTTTTGGTGTTGGATCGTTATCGTGATGGGAAGCTTTCAGTCTTTGCCCGATGACCATCAATATCGAACCTTGTCACAGAAGACAGGATGTAAGTTTAAACCTCTTGGTTACTGTAGGTGCCCTCTAATTATACTTATTATGTGCAACGTTTGACAAGCGCAACACCATATAATCAGGAAGCGTCATGTGTCACTGTCTAGTGACATGTAGTGTACATATATTGTCAGAACTTGCGCATTTATGTGGTAGAGACTAGAGTTATAGCTACTGCCTAATGTATGTGTGACCGTTTAGACTATTATTGGAAGCCAGCAAGTTCATAATGTTTCTCTTTGAATATTGGTAACGTTATTCAGAATTGGGAAAAATGATAACGAAACTGTATGTTTGTAAAATGTGCTCAACCTTCTTTCACCTGTTCAGACCAGAATTGTGACCCTGGACCACAAAACCATGTTGCACAGATATATTTTTTAGCAATAACTGTAGTCAAAATACATTGTATGGGTCTAAATAATTGATTTTAATTTTTGGCCAAAATTAATAAAATATTGATTAAAGTTCTTGCTCTTTGAAGATATATTGTAAATGCCACACATTAAGTATATCTGAACTTGATATTTTGTTTGTAATGTACATTGCTAAGCACTTAATTTAGATGACATTAAAGGTGATTTTATTTGTATTATAATTTCATTAAATCACTTTGTTTTTATTAAGTAGTTGTATCTTGAACGTACATCTAATCTTAACAGATACATCAGTGGAAAGCTTATTTATTCATCTTAAGATAGCGCATATATTTAAATTCCCCCAAATTGTGCTTATGATACAGTAGGTTTTGTGGTCACAATTAGTTAGGCAAAAGGTATTGATTCCACCCATCATCTTTCACACACTCATGTTGTTCCAAACCCATATGACAGAAGGTATTATCAGTCTCTAATGTCACCTTCTGGGTTCCACAGAAGAAAGCATGTCATTTCAGATTGGAGCAGCATGATGGTGAGTTAATGATGACTGAATGTTGTATTTTTGGGTGACTGATGCCTTCAAGATTGCTGCATCCCTCGCAATCATTCATAATTTAGTTAGAATAGTCAGTCACACAATAGCTGTGTGTGTGTGTGTGTGTGTGAAGAATCTTGGAGAAGTTTCAGCTGTTGTTTCACTTCACACATTGTGCATGCATGGTGCCAGCTGGTGAGTCATATCACCTCCATTCTTCTTGTTCTCTTTCAGTTTCACTGGAGCAGATCGGAATCCTCCACAATCGCTTTAAGCAGCTCAGCCAAAACGAGGATACACTACGGTAATATTCAAGAGGTTGTTTTTTGTTTGTTTGAGATGATTCTGCACAACTGTTCAAGAGGCAGATCTAATCAGTTATTCTGGTGTCTGAAGTCTACAAATATTTCTTATGCTTGGTTAATGGGTCTGCTTGGGTGGTTTGTTTAGCTCTTAAACATTTTATATAAATATATGAAAAAATAAAAGTCTAATGTGTATTTATATTTGCATATGTACAGATGAAGTCATTTACATTATTAGCCCCCTTTTGTTTTTTTTTTCTTTTCTTTTTTTAAATATTTCTTAAATTTTGTTGAACAGAGCAAGGCAATCTTTACAGTATGTCTGATAATATTTTTTCTTCTGGAGAAAGTCTTATTTATATTATTTCGACTAGAATAAAAGCAGTTTTAATTCTTTTTTTTACATTTTAAGGTTAAAATTATTGGACCCTTTAAGCTTTATATTTTTTCAACAGTCTACAGAACAAACCTTGGTTATACAATAATTTGCCGAATTATCCTAACCTGCCCAGTTACCCTAATTACCCTAGTTAAGCCTTTAATTGTCACTTTAAGCTGTATAGAAGTGTCTTGAAAAATATCTAGTCAAATATTATTTACTGTCTTTATGGCAACGATAAAATAAATCAGTTATTAGAGATGAGTTATTAAAACTATTATGTTTAGAAATGTGTTGAAAAAAATCATCTCTCCTTTAAACACAAAACATAAACAGGGGGCTAATAATTCTGACTTTAACTGTATGTGAGTGTGTGTTTGTGTGTAAAAAATGCAGTGTCTGTTCTTTGTGTGTTAACCCTTTTTTGTTTTCATTTGAAGGAGAGATGATCTTAAAACAATCCAAGACCTTGAAAGCAACCCAATTCGGTCCCAGATTATAGAGGCTTTCTTTGATAAAAGGTAATTTTTAGATGCTGTATATGGGTCAATATATGTCCTTTTTTAGTGTCTATTTATATTACATTTACAAAAAGTGATTTTAATAGTAAATTAATGTAGATTGTAATTGTATTATACAGGTGTCTAATTTAATAACCTTTGTTTTTTTAATTCCTTTTTTATTGAACATTTTGATTTTGAACAGAGCCCGAGATCTACCCAACAAAATACGTAAAACAAAAATAAAAACAGTAATTTTGTAATAATAGGTACAAAATTAAAACATAAATGATACAGTCTCTCTCATGTTTGACCAAAATTGTACAGTTTTATTCATTATTACAAAAAGGTTATATATAATAATAATAATAATAATTATTATTATTATTATTATTATTATTATAAGTCAAATCATTAAAATTAATCTAAAAACCACAAAACTAAATATTAACAGTGAAGTTTAACTTTCTGGGCTTATCAAAGGAGCAGCGACACCTTGTTTACCTACATGTTCTTCACAGGAACTTCCAGAAGGATGCAACAGGATCTGTGCAAGAAATCGGCTTTGAGGAATTCCTTACAGTCATGTCGTATTTCAGAGCTCCAGCCCATCAAATCACAGAGGAACAGAGGGAAGAGATCAGGAGAGCCAAACTGCGCTGTAAGTGTATGCACAATACACAATTGACATTCAAAACATTCTCTGCAAACAAGGATGATAAAGATAAAATGCCATGGAAGTGAGTTATGAATTTGAAATATCATTGGTGCTATCCTGTCTTTTCTTCAATAGTTCTGTTCAACATGCATGACACTGACAATGATGGAACCATAACACTGGAGGAATACAGACATGTGAGAGTTGTTTTTGTTTGATTGCATCCTTCTGAGTAAATCCTGACATGTGGATAGTTCACTGTTATCTCCTCAAATGATCAGCAGTGTTGTGCTGTCTGCTGTTTAGGTAGTGGAGGAGTTGTTGTCCCGGAGTGGAGCTCTTGGCAGAGAGACAGCAAAGGGCATTGCAGATGCTGCAATGCTGGAGGTTGCCAGTATCACCGTAGGTCCCATGGTACGTTAACTAGAGGCTGGATTACTAAATCAGATACATTTTTCTTCCCCCCCCCCCCCCCCCTGAACTAGCACTTAATGACTTTTTTGATTTTGTAAACCCAGGTAATCAGTTTTACGAATTCTATTAAATTCTTTTGGTAAAACTTTTAATATATTATACAATTTAGATTTTACAGTGTTTGATGCATGTACTAGAAACAGTACTAAAAGTACATTCACAAATAATTAAAATTAGCTAAATTACTCAGTGCCTAAATGTTCAGTTGCACTGCAACTAGTGTACGCGCCCTCTGAACAAAACAATAAGGGATGCCCTGAAATGAAATTTCTAAAGTCATTTGGCCAAAAACCGAAACAAAATAAAATTTGGTTATAATCAATTATTAGTTTGTTAAATGATTAAAACTAATTTTGTAAGGCTTTAAAAATACCCAATAACTTAAATTATACTGATTTAAAAAACACAAGCTAACAAATAACCTTGGTTATTTGGTGGTCTTAAGAAAAATATACTTTACAGGTCTAAAGAAAAATATAAATGATCTCAAATAAAACAAATACACTTATAGAGATGGTATATAAGTATAAAACTTTACTCACATGGGAAATTGAGCCCACATGAATGGTTTGAGCACAATTAAGTGCACACAGCATCCCATATCATCTGATAGTTGTAAGAAATAAGACCAATAGGCAACTAACTGTGTAAAGCCACATAAAAAAAAAAAAACCACAAAAATACGATGTACATACAGAGTTCAGCGGCTAATCTGCCAGAGTCAGCCGAGGTGAAGTGACGGCGACCAGCGGGACCTAGCTGTCACTTAAGTGGCCCCGCCCTTAATTATGCAAACCTAATATAAAGTTAACGGATGAGTTATTAAACATTCACCCCCTCACAGTTGTCATGAAGGTTAATATTAGCTATATGAACCAAAATCGTTCTTTGTACCAGACTGTAAAACACCTTTTTTTTCTGTTATAATGTTGGCCATTCTAACAGTGGGCTCAATTGAAATTTGCTCTATTATGGAGCCAGGACTAGTGGAATTTCGATGAATTGCAGTTTCAGTTACTTCCGTATTAGCTTCCCAAGGGAGAGCGGGAGGTTGCCGCTTGAATTTTACCAGTGTTTCCATGACAGCACTGTAGAGATTGTGCAAGCAGCAGTAACAAGTATACTACATAAAATTGTCCTTTTGTTATTTGACTGAGCTTTGCTTTTCCAGAGAACATGTGTAGTTTATGTATAGATACGCATACGAGAACATGAGCAGAATATTCACAGAGCTGAATATTAAGCTAGTTAACAGCAGTGACATTTATTTTCTGCCATTTTTCTCTTTTAGCCAAATATAAATAAAAAATTTAGGAACTGAAAATTTGATCCATCACTATTCATTAACAGATACAATAGGGCTGCACAATATATCGTTTCAGCATCGATATCGCAATGTGATCATTGAAATGCAATAGTCACCTCGCAAGATATGCAATGTTGAGCCAGGGTTATAATTCGTAAATTCCTTGTGTTCTGTGTTGCATGAGGCTTGTGAGTGTATGAGGATTTAAAAGCATTCAAGCCTAAGAAGTTGTAACATTTGCAACTTTAACTATTCATTTTATTGAATTATTTATAAAACAAAGACTATATACAGTATTGTTTATTACACATACCAATCAACCTACTTTCATAAATCTTTTCCAAATATTAAGTAATTTGTTGAAATTGTACTCGTATCACAATATATATCACAGAAAAACAAAATATTACAATTTCAGATTTTTTCCAATATCCTGCAGCCCTAATAAAGAATAAAATGTGAGATTGCAAAATGATTACACATTACAACAAATTCACAATGCACAAATATCTGAATATCTCAATAGTGACTAGGACCCCACATATAAGTAAAAAAAAAAAAAAAATGTGCGTGTGTTAATGAGCTATGCTTTTGCAACTGTTTATATTTGCATTTCCCCATGTAGTATTTTACTATTTGTGCCCAAAGTATTAGACACAAACACACAGAATTCACAATCTCGTGCTAATCTGTTTGTTTTTTTCAAGGCACCTGATGAGTTCTATGAAGGAATAACATTTGAGCAGTTCCTGAAGGTTTGTAAACTTTTAAATGAAACCAGATTGTCAAATTTACCATTTTCTATTAGTCAAATCCAGCACATAGTGTTATATTTCTTCACATGAACTCACTATGTTTGTCTCACTGTCTGCGTTGACTTTGTTTTTTCTGTGTCCTGCTCAACAGATTCTAAAAGGAGTTGAAATTGAGACGAGGATGCACATTCGCTTCTTAAACATGGACACAACTGTTCTATGCAAGTAACAATCTGTCTAAATACTGCCAGTTAAATATTTATTTTTGTTAAAAAGCACTTTAGCAGATGCGGTTGTTTTTACCCAAGCCTAGTACTATTTGCAGGAATCTCAGTGTGTGTGTGTGTGTGTGTCTTAGTTAGTTAAAAAGCAATAACAAAAAGTATCTTGATATATTCAAATTTCTTGCTTTGCATGTTCATATTATATAATTATTATATATTAATACAATACAATTACAGCTATGCAGGCATATATTTATTTATTTAATAAATTATCTTTTCTAAATACCTCTTTATGCTAATATAATCTATTAAAACCAAATGAAATCATCTACTGTATATTTTCACATTACTATATGAATATTAAATAATGCATCAAATTATTAACACTGTGAAGTAGCTATATATGAGTAGTATTTTATATGCTGATGATTTAATTCTTATAAATTAAAAGTAGTTGAATGTAGAGTCTGAAGTGAAGAACTGCAGTTCCTCCTGTCAGCCAGCAGATATTGCTAATGCCACAGCTTTGTTTGTGTCAGTGGACATACATTTACTCAGGTACCTGTACAACCAATAAGCATGCTTCAGCATGTTCGTGTAAGGGCAACGATAAGTGTATTAACTAGCGTTATATTGTAAACAATAGAAAATATTCTAAAATACCTATTAACAGCGTTACAATGATAATCTGCACTTGCTAGTGGACACCAAAGACCTTTAATCATTAACATTAGAAGCCACGTATAAACTTTGATGCAAAGAGCTCAATATGTAGTGTCAGCATGGATTGTACACATGTAGGTTTGATGTCGGGAAAATACTTTGCATAATGCATTTTTACTTGCAAAAATGAAACTACTCTAGCATTTACTCTGTGAAAGGGTAAAAATGTCTCAAAATGAAGAAGTGAACAATTGTTTCTTCTCCTAACCTAAAAAAGGGGAAAAAAGAGGGTATATGCACCCACTGTGTATTGAATCCGCAACTTGCATTTACCACAATAAAACGGCATTTTTGCCACACTGAAAACTTTTTGTAATGCACTGGTGTTTTTCTTTTCCATGAAACAATCAGCATTTCTCAGATCTCTTCTGTATTTGATGGTAAAAAGATGATGATCGCTTTCATATTTCGTGTGAAAGTGTCAACTGAGGTTGCCAAGCTAGACAGGAAAAAGGTTCTCACACAAGCACCTGTTTTGATTGTATGTAATTTGATTTGGGGGTCTTCCCCACCACACGCTACCTCTGAACGTATCTACGATCCACTACCCTCTTTTTCTGTGCCACTCCCTTGGTTTTCTAAGCAGGGCACCGCTACAAAAACCCCTTGTGTGTTTCTACAGAAATCAACAATTTCAGACATCAGGAAGTTTGATGTCTGTATCTGATGTCAGGATTTACTAGAGCTGTTTTCTTCAGCTGTTTTGCTTAACAAAATGCAGCTTTTGTTTTGCACAACAGAAGTTTCCAGGACTACTGAGCTACTAATAAAGTAAAGGTGACAGGAAGAACATTTTTTCAGTTCTTTTCTCATAGTGTGATGAAAACTGAGAACCATTTTCTACTTTGAAGAACCTTTTGTATAAAAAAAAGTTTTCAAGGATGTTAAAGGTTTTTCAATTATAAAAACTGCCTTTATTTGATATAAGTGTTGTTCAAATCTCCTGCTATCAAGTTTTAAAGGTGCTGGAAATGCTCTCAGGTGATCTGGCAGTATGATTTAATAGTTTTGTGGTTCCCAAGATAATGTAACATGCAAAGAACATGTATCCCACCGCAATTTTAAGGGTTAGTCCTCTATGATATCATATTTTAAACTTTAGTTGATGTGTAATGTTGTTGTGTGAACATAAACAACATCTCTGAATGAAATACACTAAACGTTCAATACAAAGGGAGACACTGGCTTTTACAGAGTAAGCTTAGCAAAGCCTACAGCGAACTAAGTTTAGGGATTAAAAAAAATACGTCTGGGTTAGTGAGATCATAAACCCTTTAGGTTATGTGCATACACCATTCGCATACACCCCACACAGTGAAGGAGCGTTGCCAGAGGCACTGTAATGTTATAGCAGAGAAAGCTACAATGCCGTCCAAACACTGCTATTTCCACAAAGGTCATTCTGTTTCTGTATTTGGGCTTCCAAAGGACACGACACAAAGACAGAAGTGCTTACAATTAAATTTCATTTATGTTCCAGAGAATAATGAAAATTTATAGCTCTAGCATTTGACAAAGGACAACTTCCAGAATCTCTCCCAGTTCAGTGCTGGATTCAGCTAAAAACTCCTCAAAGGAGGAGCAGCTCCAACCATAATAGATGAAGCTGTGGACGTAATCCACAACTTCTAAGTATTTTTATTTGTTAAAATTGATCTATTACATGCACAGTATCTAGAGTTAATGGTATGTTGTAGCGAGGAATTAAATAAGGATGTAAACAATGGCAAATGCTGTTTGGCAACGCTATCAATCTAGCTACAAATTCTTATTTATCAGTCAAACCTCTGTAAACACCCACAATCTTCACCAGCACACGCATTGTCTCTGTACACTGCCACTTTCCCTGTGTTCTACATCTCAAATAACGAACTCACAAAAGAGTTAAAAAGTGTGAACGCTTCATAATAATTACGCATGCTTATAACCCAAAAATATGTGAAAGGCACTTGTCAGATTTTATTTTAGAGGGCAGACGTGAGGTTCACCTGTGTCCTTTTCTGTCGGATTCAGGCACAAACTGATACGGCTAACAGCTACTCTGACTGACAGTATTTACACAGCAGAGGCAAAGTGCATGCTAGTAGAGGTGTGGCGCTTCCTGGTAAGCTGATCTGCAAATGACAGCCCATTATGTTAGCTGACCAAGCAGAGCCTCTTGAGGGCAGGCTTTTTGAGGAACTAGGAAATATGACGTTGTTGTTTGTCACTTATGTAATTGTTAGTTATGTCATTTTTATGTTAGCTGTAATCAACATAAGATATATGAAAAAAAATAGTGTTTTTTTTTTTTAACAAAGCATGAGCACACATTTCTTTGCACCATATAAACACAACCAAGCCTTTAACATACACTCTGGACCGCCTCTTAAAGGTCCAGTAAAAGTAGCATTAATTATATCAATAACTAAAATTGACTAATTTACCTTATTTATGCATTCTTTAACACGATTTTGCTTATTGAATGAACGGCAGTTTTCAGCCCTTTTACCAACTGACCAGGGGAAGTTTAACTAAATGAAGAGTATGAAAGCAGGGACACAATATTTTCCAACACCTCATGATTATTACTGTAGCCCTCATGTGATATCAGAAATGTTTATGTTTCTTTATGTTTATGTTCTGACGTTTAGACATTTTATTTGGTTAAACTTCGAAATAAAAGTTCACCTGCTGAAGGTGAAGATATTTTAGATGAAATCCAAGAGCTCTCTGACCCTCTATAGGCAGCAAAGTTCCTGAAACATTCAAAGACCAGAAAAGGAACAAAATCTTTGTTAAAGCATTCCACGTGACTGATTACAGTGGTTCAACTTTAATCATTTGAAGCTCCAAGAACACTTGTGTGCAGCAAAAAACAGTAAAAATGGTTTTGTTTGGCAATGGGTTCTGTGTCAGATCATATGCATATGCAATAAGATGCTAGTGGGTTGTCATATTGCTCATAGTTAATGTGCACTCTGGGGATCTGACAAGGAAGAGAAGACATTAGCAAACAAAGACAAATTTGCAGTTTTTTTTTTTGTAGTTTTATTGGAGCTTTGTGTGATTACATTTGGTGTTCTGAAGTCACATGTTTTGATGATGTTTTTGTTCCTTTTCTGGACTTTAACATTTCTTGGAACTGTTGCTATTTATAGAGGAAGGGGGAGCTCTCAAATTGAATCTAAAAGATCTCAATTTGACCTCTGAAGATGAATGAAAATTTTAGGGGATTATAACGACATGAAGGCAAGTGATTAGTACTGACGGTTAAAAAACTGAAGATTCAATTTTGGGAGATCTAATCCTTTAATTACATGGATAAACTAAAATAAACAAAAAAGTAATCTCAAATTGATGATAACATTTGTTTCTGCTCACATAATTAAAACACTTTAAAAAAAATCATTGCATCAGTCTTTTCCCCTAACTTTTCAAATTCATTCCTCAAAACTGTACTGAGTTCACAAAATGTCATTTTTTTGGTGAAACATGTTTAGGTTGGTTAAGTTTTCACTTTTTACAGTGTACGCTGTAAAAAGTGATTAGTTACTTAAAGTGAATTGCCTTAGTTGACTTAAAAGCAACAGGTTTATTTCACAAAAATAATGTAAGTAAACTCATTATAACTTGAAACTGCTAAGTCGACTTAATTTTTGTAATTATGCTAATTGTACTCACTTTTTTAAAGTCAACTAGTCTCTTTTTAAAGTGTCAGACTATTTTAGCAGTCTGTTTTAAAATAATTACTATTTCTATCACAATATTGCATATTTGGTGCCTCATTAAGCCTATAAAATCTACACTTATAATTAGTATTAAATTAGAAGACACACTGGAGTCTGGAAGAGCAGATTTATGTTTAGTTTTTGTCATTTTGCTAGATACAGAAAAACTAAAAAATATATATAATAAAAGTGTATTGGAAAAAAGTGATTAGTTTACTTTTAGTTTTTTAAAAAGTTAGTACATTAAGCATAATTTAAAAAATTCAGTCAATTGGACAGTTCCAAGTTACAGTGGGTTTACTTACATTATTTTTGTAAAGTTAACTTGTTGCTTTTAAGGCAGTTGGTTTACTCACTTTAAGTAACTAATCACTTTTCTACAGTGTATAAACTTGAGTTCAAAATCCCAAACTTATTGCAAATTTTGGAGTTGAAGAACGTAAATGCTATAAGCTGAAAAAAGTTATCTGGACTATTAACCCAATTGGCTGTATGTACACATACTACACAACTGTTTTGGTCATCTCTTGGCATACAACATAATGCTGACAAGACATGCATGTCTGCACATGTATGAATGCTCTGCAACATGATTTTGCTAAACTAACACAATACAACAACATTAACGAACACTTTATTTAAAAATATAATGGTTTACATCAATTCCACCGCTGAGACTGCAGCTCTGCACAGGACTTTTGGCCAGCAGAGAAATTAAAATGGTCGTGCCCGACTGAGTCTGGTTTCTCTCAAGGTTTTTTTTCTTCACTCGCCTCGGTGAAGTTTTTTTTCCCTCTCCGCTGTTGCCACTAGCTTGCATGGTTTGGGATCAGTAGAGCTACCCATCGATGAATTTGCTCTTCAGTGTTTGGACTCTCAGTAATGATTTTAAACCACACTGACCTGAGCTAAACTGAACTATTCGGTTCCAATAACTATGAACATTTATGTGAAGCTGCTTTGACACAATCTACATTGTAAAAGCGCTTTACAAATAGGTCTGAATTGAATTGGGAATAATTGACAACAGGCTGTTGAATTCCTAGAAGTTAATGCACAACTGATGTGGTGACGCAGCCCCATTTCAGAGTCGATTATTCCGCTTCTACTATGATGACTACACCTGAAGACAATGTTCTGATCTTGTATCAAGACATTTGTCAGGTTGACTGCAGTCAAATTATGAAGGTGCTCAGTTTGCAAAAGCTGAGAATTAAAGGTAAGGATGTTGTAAATAATGTTCAGTATTTTGCATAGACTTCTCATTTTATAGTATTTATTTTGTTGCACAGTTACACGTTTTCTTTTTTTGCTCTCAAGGGGATGTTTAGCCTTGACATGCTTTATATGAATCATCAAGGATGATGACAGTTTCAGCCTATCAGCTAAACATCTAATGTTCTACTGAAGAATAATGTCATACATCTTGGATGGCGTAAGGGTGAGTAAATTATTTTAGAGAAAAACATTTTTAACCATCCCTTTTAATAGAAGACTGACTGACAGCCAAATTCTCAGAACTTTACATTACCCACAATTTAGCATCATGGAATTATTATACAACATACTCAAAAGAAATACAATTCTTCATTTCTTAATTCGCATTCTTCATTTGCATTACGTAATCAAATTGTTGCAGCATTCTTTGACACTTTTGACCCAGTTAAACTTCTGATAATGTAAAACTGCATTGCGAAGAATATCCAGTAGATCAGCATGATTAATGCTTTATTTTGAAGAGTCAAAAACAAAACACAGTTGAATATTGTAATAGACAACAAAGTCAAACATGCTAAGCAAAATGGGTGGAAATGCTGATAGAGCTTTTTTATTTTCCCTGTTTTTCCTGAAGAACGTTGCCATGCAGAACTTGACCTATAATGAATCTTCCTACTTCTATTTCCACAGTAGCGTGTGACTAGGGCAAAGTGCCTGAGGTGGCGATTTCTTTTTTCCTTCGCCAAAACTAACTAACAGCATATAATAAATCCGACGTACCATTATTTATACCATATCTTAATTGTTTTGTATGTTGTTTGGTATAACTTAACACTAAGATGCTGCTATTATAATATTTCCATTAACATCATAACAATGTTTGTGCTGTTTTGATGTCATGCAAAGTGTTTGCAGTGCACTAAATGAAAAAAAGTAGTTTTGAATGTCCATTAATGCAAACGTTTCTTTTTTGCATTGTTTATTTTGAAGTAATGAATGCACAATAATGTAGATCATGACATACATCATAAATAAGTATCAAAATATACACTTAAATTTATAATCACAACATTCTCATTCAGCATTATTACAGTATTTGTGCTGAGCGAATCTGCAAATCCAAGTCTGTTTATTGTAAAGGAAGACTCACTTAAATGGACACAAATGCACACTCATACCTTGTGACAATGGAGACGGCTAGTCAGTTTTTTTTTTTTTTCCACTTTCTGATGTGGTGAAATGAATGCGTCACTATGGGCTGATATCAGTCTCTTATACTTCCTGCCTTCTAAAATGGTCTCAAATGAAGTCTGCGTCTGAGATGGTATACATTTACACAATTTTTTAGGTTGTGTTAAACCGCAAAAGCCAACGTGTGACATCACAGTTGCTCGTTAAAGATTTTTTGTGTCTGTGACAACATGCTAAACCCCATAGGATCCTAAGAAACAGCTTAGAGTGATTTTGAGCTTTTGTTCTTGAAGGACAAAAAAAGGCATCGCGTCCAGTCATCATGTGTTCAGTTTTGATGACAACTAATGTAAGATAAGTAAATCAAATCACAGTATTTTTACTGTCATATGATGGCCAAATGTTCTGCAAACTAGTCCAAGTTGAAGTTTATAAATACGTTTATTCAGTCATTTTCCTTTAGCTCAGTCCCTTATTTATCAGGGGCTGCCACAGCAGCATGAACTACCAACTATTCCAGCATTTTTTTACACAGCGGATGCCCTTCCAACCTCAACCTAGTACTGTAACCCAGTACAAACACATACTCATACACTACGGCCAATTTAGTTTATTCAATTCACCTAGTGCTTGTCTTTGGACTTTGGGGGAAACCGGAGCACCCAGAGGAAACCCACGCGAACACGGGGAGAACATGCAAACTCCACACAGAAATTCCAACAGACCCAGCCGAGGCTCGAACCAGCGACCTTCTTGCTGTGAGTTGACAGAGCCACTGAGCCCTGTTTCTAAAATCAGTTTGGTCCACATACATGAATGTGACAATTAGGACAGAAATAAATTATATGAATAAATATATCCTCAGCAAAAGAGGACACTTCTACAGAAAACATTTCTTATAAACAGTACAAAAATAAATATTAATAATAAATTACGTGGTCTTACATAACAGAACAAGTTTGAGTTGATCAAGAATAATTCTTTTTTGTCCTCCTGCAGGTTTTTCCCTTGAGAGACTTTTGTTCTTGAACTGCTTGACTAAGGAGCTGCTGAAGCCGAGTTAGGACGATGCATCCATAGACCTTCTGCTGGAAAATATTCTGCGCTGGGGGAATTCCCGTTGGCCTTTCAGCTGGCTCAGGAATGGGTATATTTGGCTGCAGGATTTGTAAGAGACAGTTCACCCTTACAGCCATGTGGCGAACGTGTGTAATCAAGCTGTTAATTCCCTCTGTCACGGGGTTGGTTGGAGGATCCAGGTCCCGCTGCTGCTCCATCACTGTCTTCAGGTGTGGCAGAAACGCCTTCAGGTGGGAATACATACTTAAGATGCGCTCCGATTCAGTCTGACCGGAGATTGTAGACACTGGAACATTGTCCATTTGCATTTCACAGATCAGGTCTGTAGAGTCTCCTTGACTGGCTTTCTGAAAGAGAGAAAACAAAGAGTCTAAGATCTAAAGTCCAGAAATGATTCAATAGTTTGTGATTTTGGAAGTTTGCACATTTACACACTGTAAAACCCAAAAAGTTAAGGCAAATTGTTTTAGCTATAAACCATTTATGTTAACTCCATTTGATTAATGAGGTATTTAATTAACTCATTACCTTCAACGCTGAGTTCAAAACTCCTTTTAAATGAGTAGAATTAACTTTAAATTTTGACTTAACTACACTCATTTCATTAGATAAAGTTGACCGTTGGATTTTACAGTATATACAGTATATACAGTTCTGTCTGGTTCTCGAATCTGATTGGCTGATAGCCTTGTGATATTCTGCAGTATCAGAACTCGTACAGCCTCCTCACCCTTCTGGATTACTGACTTTTTTTAGGCGAGAATGTAGTTGTTTAGATTACATCTATGAAGTTTATTTATGAGGACAGTGCCTATTTTAAATATTTATAGTTTCGGAAATGCATCGCATCGGCATCCATTAGCTTATGTGTATATACAGTATATTTTGACAGAGAAGTATTAAGGAGAACACAATATGTGTTCCAAATTGCATACTTATTCTCTATTCTACACCATTTTGTAGTATAAATAGTGTACTGAAAAAATATTTTTGTTCGATAAAGAATAATTGCACTTTAAATGCCAGGACTGTGCACTTACTCAACTGTTAAGATTAAATGTGGAATGTTGGACACCTCACACAATCAATGGTTTGCTCCTGTAGCAGAAAGGCGACGCTATCAGGCACTGATGTTGGATTACTGTATTCATATTAGATTTTGCGAACAAAATTCTCCTACGTTAGTCATTTTGCCACCTCCTGATGGTAAATGCGGTTATACACATGGAAGGCACTATTTGGTAGCTTGGTAATTTATTTTACTAATTTGGTAACCGTCAAACATCGTATTGGAAACGATTTGAATTTCCGGTTAGTGTTAATGTAGTGTTAATGTTCCAGTACATGCTGAGTGGCTGATATTTGTTTGCAAATATCAGTCAAAGTTCCAACATTCATGTTTAAATTTTATTTTCTAGATCTGAGGTAAACTATCTGCTGTCGCTTTCACTATGGCAATAAATGTCATGTAAATTGACACTTAAAGTCATAGTAGTAACTTTTAATGCTGAATAAAGCACTATAATCAGTACCTGAGGCCATCAGTGTCATAGTAGTTTATGCCACAATATCACATAAATGCAAATCATTTCTATAATACAAATTTTGCATGACGTTGCTATTGATAGTTAGGACTCCAATTAATATGTAAACTCCAATTAATGTGTAAAAGATAGCTTATATCGCATCACAGTGTCCCATCGCAGGTGGTTAGGACATGGCATAAGGCTTTTAAAATAAATTTGTATTCAGAACTCGAAATCAAAACATGCTTAGAGCTTAACCTAACTACACAATTGTTTATGCATTTAAAAATGTCACTCTTTTTTTTATTTAGACAGTGTTACAACATCTATAATAATGAAGAAATTCTGATTCTTCACAAAAAATTATAAGAATTATATTTTTAATATATTATTATATTGCTTTGTATCAATCAGTTTTATTACAAACCCACTTTGTCATTGATTCCATTGATTCATCGTCATGACTATTTTCTGCATGACCCACACATGAACCATATTTACATTGAGCTATGCCTTTGTGCGACTCATTTCAAAACCTTGTCTAGTCAGGACAGTACATATACAGCCAAAGAGCTAAATTTACAGTTCCCACCTACTCCCACCCACTCTCAAAACAACCCAATTTTATCAATGGAAGGAGTCGCCTTATTGGATGTGGAAACCACCCATGCATCTGTTGACCATATTAGGATTATATTGTCAGAGCATTTCTCCTTTCATGTACCAATCACGACTGATTTAAGACCACTGACGTGAACCCCATTTGCAAAAAGTAACTATAGAAAAAGCACTTACATATATGTCCAAGAGCTTCACTGTCATCTTGTTTGTAAACTTGTTGAGCTTCAGACTTCGGTGAAGACGCTGGCTGCAGTTTTCGTTCTTGCATGACATTGTTGGTTGCACTAACTGAACGGCAATCAAGATTATGATAGCGAAGTATGCTCCTGTAATAAAAAAAACATTCAGAAATTAGCTAAGCTCAAGTTAAAAAGTATTCATATTTTAAAGCGCAGCCATTCATGCCTTTAGTTTCGAATTCACTAAAATCCTTTAATGCACATATAATCAACACAAGTAAATCAATGTGCATATGTGTTTTGAGTTATTGATCAAATGAATTAATATCAACAGTCTATCCATGTTTGACAATAGTTGAGCATGACTATGAGCGTATTGTTGAGTGTGCAGTGTGGCGGTAATACTTACTGAATTTGACTTGCAATCTCTGAGACAGGCAGAGCATGTTCCTGACATGACAGTTCATTCTCCGTTCACAGACAACGTTTCAAACTGGTCATGATCACAACTCTGAAAAAGTTTTTAAAGACTGAAACCACACATTTGTCATTGGAAGGAAATGACGCGGCCGGCTTTCTGAGGCAACAAGAGTTCCCAGAATATTTTTTTTTCTTTTTGCGTCTTCATTATCACATGTACTATGTGTAATGTTCCCTCCTCCTTTTGTTGCCGCCCAGGTTTGTGTGAATGCTTGACTATGGGTGGGTTGAGCAATGGTGTCTCTTTGTAGCTAATTGCCGTCTGATATCAAAATACAATTGATTTGATCATTTCTAAAATCTAAATATCTAAAATGAAGAATTTTGGTGAATTTTTGGTGTTTTATTTAACACCATTAGTATTAGCAAGATGTTCAAGTATACATTTTGTTTATCATCATTCGTTAACATTGCCCTGAATTTCACAATGCCACACAAAGCTATTCAAATTAAAAAGGATCTATCATCCACCACAGCACTCTTTCCACCCTTACTCTGAACTTTATGCCCATTGGTTCATCAGGAAGTGGTCTTGCACCGTCATAAGGAAGGTAGTTTCTCAATTCTAGATTTTCAGCAACTTTTTAATCTTTTGACGCAAAAAAAAAAGACACAACATTGGGAATTTCAGTCACCTATCGGACAAGGAAGGAAAATGACAGATCTTGCTGTGCTCTTGTCCAGCTTCTGTGTGATGTCATTGCATGTTGCATGCAGGATGACTTAAGTGGACAAAAACTGAGCTAAGCTTTATTTTGACCCTTTATGACTGCAAGGGAAACCCCAGAGCCGAAAGCTTGCGCTTAGCACATATTTACCATAGTGTACCAAAGAAAGGCTGATCTCACAGCCACATTTGTAAAAATACATCCGTAGGCTTAGACAAATAAATGTACTTTCTTGGGTAAGGCGTTTGTCTTTTCATGCACAAGCGTGACACTGATGTGGTAAGCTGTGCCACAGGGGAAATCGGTGTCTTCTCAGCAAAACACAGGTAATAGTAGCTCAGTACCTGGTACTTTCCACGATCCTTACCAAAAATGTGCACTATTAGAGTGAAGAAAAAATGAGCATATACTAGTAGTATACCATTTGCTCTTTTATGCAGAGTGTGGTCAATTTCCCTGTATTTTATTTTATTTATTGCTGTTTTAACATCCAGGGTTGAGGATGTGGATGTGACAGCCAAGCCTTGAAAACGGTACCCAAGACACCTCTATCTGATCTTTATCGACTTCAGCCAACTCTTTGGAAGTGTGTCTGCGCTAAATCAGCAGCATTTACGCAGACAGGACTGGGTTTTATATTTGGGTCAGGAAGATCAAAGATAATTTCTCTTAACCTCTAAACCACAGGAAGTGCTTTACTTGAGAGTTTGAGGAAATCCCCCGGTCTCCTTCGTGTATTTCTCATAATTACCTATTTAGAACTTAGTCTAAACTCACCTCAAATTTTTTTGTGTGCCATGCAACAAACAAAAGAGAGACAAAGCTCTCGTAATTTTTGAGAATTAATGTGAATTCGTAACATCAATCTTGGTAATCGAGTCAAGTTGGCTTTATTGTCATTTTAACAATATACAGTGCACAAAACAATATTCCTCCTGGACCAAGGTGCTACATCAAACAACATAAAATTGAAAACATATAACACAGGACTGTGCACTACAAAAAATCTAGAGATTGAAATAAGAATAGAAAATAAATAGAATAAGAGTATAAAAAAGAGCGCAAAGTGCGGACAGTTGACACAATATTGACATTAGTGTTTAAATGTGCACTTATAAATTCATTCTTATTATGTTTAGTTCGTATTGTCTGTTGTTGAATTTTTTTTTGCTGAGACGCTGCAATTTGCACTAGGCAATGCTGCAATATTTCCTTCAAATGTATGAGAGGAGTCATCACTGTTTCATTTCCTTATACAGTATAACCCAAAGCACAATATCACTCGGGTAATTGCATAAAACAGCCAACCATGTGACCATTAAGGGATCTGCTCTATGCCAGCTAACAAAAATGCATTTTAAGGATGGAAGGTTTTTATAAACAAATGCTACTGCTGGATGTTCAGATGTCAACATTTCTCCCACATGAGTACTCTTTCTTTGATAGGGGAAGATCATAAATGAACAATTATACTGTAGGTGGATGACGAGGCATGGTTACTTATACACTACCTGACAAAAGTCTTGCCGCCTATCCATGTTTTAGCAACAACAAACTTTACTTCTAGTTGATCATTTAGCTTATATGAAAGGCAAAGGCTTCTAGATTATGCTTATTTTACCAAAATAAAATCAGGCTGTTGATGTTGCTATCCATTCTGCAGATCTTTTGAACACCTCATACTGAATGTTACCCCAAACCAGGGTTTTCTCTCACCAAATTCGACTGATTCCTGTGAGAATCTTGGGTCCATGTGGATTCTAATAGGTCTTCTGCAGTATTTGGGATGATTGGGATGCAGTTCAACAGATGATTCATCTGAAAAATCAACCATCTGACACTTTTCCAATTGATCAACTAAGTCAAGTTTTATTTATTGCTCTTACAACTGGCATTGATGACAAGACTTTTGTCAGGTAATGTACATCATTAAATAAACAATAAACCGTTAATTTGACTGAAATACAGAGTGGTGTAAAGCAGCATACTACAAATACTCAAGTTACTGTAATTGTATAGCTTTTCATAGGAATTAAAATTTTCTTAAATATGTTTTAGTTCTGTATAAGTACTTTTACTGTGCTATTTTGCAGTCACTGCTTTATATGTGTATTTTTTGTTGTCTACAGTCAGTCTTGTTAAACTCTCACATGCACCAAATTTCTTTTTTATTTTATTAATTCTTTCTGTAGAATGCAGTTGTCATTCCATCTGCATTACCATATGTTGAATGCTTAATTTTGATTGGTTGATGAGTATTTTGTTGTTCAATTATTTTCATGGAAATGCTTTATTAATCTGCTGTGCATTTCTTGCTCTGGCTGGCATTTTGGAAACTAAGGCATCAAAAAGATATGTAAGAATCTAGTCCTACACACAAGATTTGATGACAAGAACTTGATTGATGTTTAAAAGTTGTGGTGTAAGCATAATAATGGAGTCTGTTGAAATAGTGCATAATGCACCTCAGTGTTGCTAAGTAAATGGCTATGCATTATTTTCTAATAATTCAACAGATCCTCATCAATTCTCTTATACAACATGGCGGATCAGTTGTCAAGTGAATAATTAGCTCACTGTAAGTGATTTTTAAGTCATGACAACATTTTATCTTATTTGTAATGCATCAAACTAAATCATGGCTCAACTTAATTTTTAACTTGAATAAGTTGTTTAAAGTCAGTTATAGTAATTTAATTAAAAGTGACTCATAAGGTTAGTTGAATCTTGGACTTTAAAATCGAAGCCAACTATGTCAATTTTACGATGCTCTGACTGGCTGATGAACATTCTAAAGCATTCAGTTGTTTTCAGATAACCACACAGCTGAAGTGCAGTAGTTTAAGACTTCATCATACTTCCCCATCATCTTGCTGAATGATTTCTGATGCTTCAAGTGATGTCAGCCAACAACAGAAAAAAAAGCTAAGCAAGACTAAACAAAAGGGTTTGGATGACATTTGTAAGAAACTAGTCCTATGCTCAGCAAAGGTTTGAGGACAAAAACTTGACAAGTACCTTTAAATACAACATCCGAACATTAGGTGTGATAAGTGGAATAATAATAACTCCAGGCCATTGATTTATCAGAAAACACTGCACAGGTTGAACGTATTCTTTGCTTTGCATGACTTCTAATATTTGAATGGCTCATCATAAACTTGCATTTTAATGTTTTATTTATTCTAAGTTTGTTTGAAGAACGCCTGAATCTCAGCCAAGTAGACTTCCTGTCAGCAGCGATGTTGAATATAATAGACTGAGATGACATGTCGTTATGAGTGTAGCCCCACATATTTCCACACAGCCAAACTGATTTCTTAACAGATTTTTTTACGCAGCAAGAAAAATCACGCTAGTGCACCTTTAAGGGTGTAGTGCTGGAAACGTTTAAAGTTTAAGACGCGTGCACGCGCACACACTCCTTTCTGCCGATTGCCCGTGGTAGGCATTGCGTAACTCACTCTATCCCACCGGATCTGTTCGCTTCCTCCTCCTCCTCCTCCTCGTCGTCCTCCTCCTTCTCAGGAAGTGCAGCCGCTGGTCTAAAGAGAGGCTCCGGACTCCCGCTCTCCAGCGACTCGATCGCGCGTCATCCATCGCGATGCCCTGCCTGCTTCTGCGCGCACCTGTGAGCGACGCACGCCAGTAACCGATGAAGGGTGAAGAGGATGCGCTGGAAGCAGCAGGGAGACGCAGCGGCATCATCCTCATCCTCAGCATCAGCAGCAGGGCGCTCGGTTAGCGCCCACCCCCACTCACTTCGTCTTTTCCTCCCCCCCTGCAGAAGCATGCTTGCGTGAGGGATGAGGCTGGAGACAGGGACATCAGGCCAGAGCTGCGGCCTTCTTCTTTTCACAAGAGCCGGGCTCGCCATCATCGCAGCAGCAGCAGCAGCATCCGCCAACGCTTTGCCATCATCACACCAGCATCTTTGGTAGGCAGCCTGTCTCTCCTCTTCCGCTTGCCGTTTTTGCATAAGAAATGCAGGCCTGCCATGGTCATCCACTCAACCCCACATCAGTAGCCATGGCAACCACATCCTGTTAATAAGCGCTTTTTCATCCCCCCCATGTCTTTCTGTCTCCGGAGCGCAGGCTTATTTTACGCTTCGTTTTTTTTTTGGTTGTAGTAAAGATATTTATTTTGTTCTTATTTAGATTTTTTTAGGAAGCTGTACATGATGTACTGTACAGTGTCTTTTCTCTCTCACACGTATTTGCAGAACGCAAAATGAGACGGTTTCTTAATAGTTGCAGGTTCAAATTCGTAATGGAAAAATATTTGCTTTTGCAGTATTTGCATTTTGATTCAGTCACTGACATTATCATAGGCATCATATTTCACTCAGGCAGTGTGTTCAACCCATCAAGACGAAGCTGATGATTCTGAAATATATATTTAATCTAAAATTAAATGAAGCCAAATATGAATAATGAAAGCAGAAATAGATTGCCTGTTTTCAAATATTACATGGCCTTTTCTTTTTATCAGATGTTATACTCTGACAGTCTTTTTGATTTGTGCACCTGTGTTGCTCAGTGATATATGTAAGGCATGTAACATTATAAAATCTGACGTGCTGTACTGTAAGATGCATTTAAAATTATTTTAATAACAATATTTAGTTTTTTGTTGCATGCAGTGCTTGTGCACTCAAAACCACATCAAATGAACTAGTCGATGTGATTAAAATTGACAATATGATTAAATCTTCTGGTGCATCTACAAAATTTTAAAACTAAAATCTGATATATTTGCACATTTAACTATGCATTATACATTGACAGTTCATGTATATAGTAGCTCCTTTTGTCCCAAATACCCGTGGACTTTTTACTTACTGTCTTCTGCTTATTCCCTTTTTTATAAGGGGTTGCCACAGCAGAATGAACCACCAATTACTCTGGCCTATGTTTTATACTGCAGATACCCTTCCTGTCACAACCTAACATTGAGAGTACAACTACACTAATAATACAACCCTCAGTGCTGGGAAACACTTTCACAATCTCCTATTCACACCTTATGGCCAATTTAGTTTATGGAATTCACCTATAGGACTGTGGGGGAACTGGAGCACCCGGAGGACACGGGCACACTCAAATACAGGGAGAACATGTAAACTCAAAGAAAGCCCTACAGTTCCAGCCAGAACTCAAACCAGCAACCTTCTTGCTGTGAGGCAACCATGCTAACCACTGAGTAACCCTTTTGCCCATGTGGGCTTTTCTTTTTTTATAAGTATTAGTGATCCACTCTCTTTTTTTCTGTTCTCATATATATATATATATATATATATATATATATATATATATAAATTTGAAGTCAGAATTATTAGCTCCCTATTTTTTTTATACTAATTTCTGTTTAACGGAGAGCAGATTTATTTTAACACATTTCTAAACATAATAGTTTTAATAACTCATTTCTAATAACTGATTTATTTTATTTTTGCCATAATGACAGTAAATAATATTTGACTAGATATTTTTCAAGACACTTCTATACAGCTTAAAGTGACATTTAAAGGCTTAACTAGGTTAATTAGGTTAACTAAACAGGTTAGGGTAATTAGGCAAGTTGTTGTATAATGATGGTTTGTTCTGTAGACTATTAAAAAAATATATAGCTTAAAGGGTCTAATAATTTAACTTAAAATGTAAAAAAAACAAATAAATAAATAAAAATGCTTTTATTCAAGCTGAAGTAAGACTTTCTCCAGAATAAAAAAAATATTATCAGACATACTGTGAAAAATTCCTTGCTCTGTTAAACATCATTTGGAAAATATTTTAAAAAAGAAAAATAATTATTAATTATTAATTTAAAATAATAATTATTTACTGGCATTGATTGTACCATCAATAAAACCCTTTGACATTCACAAAAGCTTAAAGTGCACAAAAGTTCTTTTAATTGTTAAAATATTCTTTACAGTAAGTAAAATGGATCATTTAAAAACGGTGCACTGAGTGGCAGACATTTGGAATTTTTATGTTTTATAAGTATTTAATTTTTTTTGAATTTTGAAAACTATTAATCAACCATTATTACAGAAATGACATGAAAACCACTTGACTGAATTGATCATGATGTTGAAAATGACTGCTAACTTAAATAGCACATTATACACATTTACATATATCTTAAAGAGATAAATCATTTAAACATCAAAAGTTACTCACTGGGCATCACGGTGGTGCACTGGGTAGCACAACCGCCTCATAGCAAGAAGGTCACTGGTTCGAGCCTTGGCTGGGTCAGATGGCATTTCTGTGTGGAGTTTGCGGGTTCAGGTGGGTTTCCTCTGGGTGTATTAGGTAAGGTAAATTGTCCGTAGTGTATGTGTGTGAATGAGTGTGTATGGATGTTTCCCAGTGACAGGTGGCAGCTAGAAAGGCATCTTCTGCATAAAATACAATGCAAAAAATGCTTTTCTTACTTAGATTTTTTTGTCTTGTTTCTAGTCCAAATATCTAAAAATTCCTAAATCAAGAAGAGTTTTCTAGACAAGCAAAACATATTGTCTTGTTTTGAGAAATAATATGCCAATATTAAGTGAGTTTTTACTTAAAACAAGCAAAATAATCTTACGTCAAAAGAAAAAAACAAGATTATTTTGCTTACCCCATTGGCAGATTATTTTGCTTGTTTTAAGGAAAAACTCACTTAATATTGGCATATTATTTCTCAAAACAAGACACAATGTTTTAACTCTCCCTCCAATGGTTTCAAACCTTTAAATGTTTATTTATTCGTTTGAACACTAAAGAGGATATTTTGAAGTAAGCTGGAAACCAAAAACCAATGACTTTTATTGTATTTGTTATTTTTATTATGGTTTTTAAGCATTTTCTTTTAAAACCATCTGAATTGTTCAACAGAAGAAAGAAACTCATGAAGGTTTGTAGTAAAAACTGAGGAAACCTTTATGTTTGGGTGAACTACCCGCTTAACCCTTTAATTGCCTGCTCTACCAGATGGTTGACAATGTTTCGACTGTTTTAAATAATGACTGTTAAAGTCAATTAAAGAATGACTGTTTTAAATAATGGTGTACACACACCGCATTGTTGGTTTACAAAAAAAATCAAACAAACATAATCCTGTTGCACTACTACACTTAATGTTGGTTTTAATGTACAAAACAACAAGAAAGCATGTTAAATGAGAATCTGAAATATTTTATGGCATATTTCAAAACATGAAGATGATTGAGTATTCAGAAATGTTTTATTTTTGAATTTGTTTTTAAATTAATTGCTCTTACACTTCACATTTTCTGGTTTTCACAGTACTGTATACATGTATTAATTCTGGTACTTTGACCAAAAACCAATATATCAACCATTTGGTAGAGGCTGATATTATGGAAATTATGGGATGTGTTTGAAAAAAAAAAAACTTATTGAGTGTGTTAACTAGTAACATTAGGAGTTAAGAAATGCAATCCAAACATTTTTTTTTCTTGGAGGGGCATTTAAAGGGTTAAGATAATATCTGTCATCTTGTAGTTTAAATGATCAGAAGAGTAAATATTGTTGCTTGGCTTCCCTGACCTTTGACCCCAAATGCATTGTGTGCCTGCAGGTCTGTGAGCAGATCCAGGAGCATGAGCAGGAAGCTGTGTGGCGCGAGCAGATGTCAGGGTATAAGCGCATGCGGCGGCAGCACCAGAAGCAGCTGATCGCCCTGGAGAACAGGCTAAAGGCCGAGATGGATGAGCACAAGCTCCGGCTGCAGAAGGAAGTTGAGACCCAGGCCAATAACACCTACATCGAACTGGAACGACTAGCCAAAAAGCAAGCTACACAACTGGACAAGGAGGTTTGTAACTCTTTCTGACACACACAGTTTTGTTGTAATTCAATTTTTATTTAAAAAAATGAAAATATACAGTTGAAGTCAGAATTATTCGCCCCCCCCCCCCCCCCTTTTTTATTTTTTTCCACAATTTCTGTTTAATGGAGAGCAGAGTTTTTCAACACATATAATAGTTTTAATAATTCATTTCTAATAACTAATTTATTTTATCTTTACCATGATGACAGTAAATAATATTTGACTAGATATATTTCAAGACACTTCTATAAAGCTTAAAGAGACATTTAAAGGCTTAACTAGGTTAATTGGTTAACTAGGCAGGTTATGATAATTAGGCAAGTTATTGTATAACGATGGTTTGTTCTGTCGACTATCTAAAATAGCTTAAAGGGGCTAATAAATTTGACCCTAAATGTTTCTAAAAAACTGCTTTTATTCTAGCCTTAATAAAACAAATAAAACTTTCTCTTTTTTATTTACTTGCTCTGTTAAACATCATTTAGGAAATATTTTAAAAACTGTATAGCTGTACAATGTTTACAATAAAATACTTTTAACAGCTATTAATCCATAATATATACTTCCACCCCTCCACCCCGTTTTATGCACATCAGGAAACACAGAATAACTGTGTTTAGACCAAGCAATTAGATAAATGACATTGAATTTGACATTTGTAGTATCAGATGTGGCGATGCAGTGGCGCAGTAGGTAGTGCTGTCATGTCACAGCAAGAAGGTCGCTGGGTTGCTGGTTCGATCCTCGGCTCAGTTGCCGTTTCTGTGTGGAGTTTGCATGTTCTCCCTGCATTCGCTCCGGTTTCCCCCACAGTCCAAAGACATGTGGTACAGGTGAATTGGGTAGGCTCAATTGTACATAGTGTATGAGTGTGTGAATGTGTGTGTGAATGTTTCCCAGAGATGGGTTGCGGCTGGAAGGGCATCCGCTGCGTAAAAATGTGCTGGATAAGTTGGCGGTTCATTCCACTGTGGCGAACCAGGATTAATAAAGGGACCAAGCCGACAAGAAAATGAATGAAAGTATCAGATAAGGGTTAAGTGTCCAAGATTTCTTTGACATCGCCTATGTAGATTCTCCACACAGAATGTGCAGTTTTGCATTGTCTGTGCTGATGACAGTTCCACATACAGTATTTCCAATAGTGAATGCAACCAGTGCTTAAAAGAAAGATCATGAGGAGGTTTCCACCTCTGTACCATACTTGACAAAGTGTTAAGTTAAGCAGAGTTTACAAAATCTGACTTGAACCTCTTAAGCCAGAAGTTTTAGACTTTTAATTTTTTAAAAAGTATTTTTAGTATTATCAAATCTGCAACAGCGATCAGTTCTTTTGCAGATGGTAAATACTCTTTAAAATAAGTATTCAAAGTTAATATATGTATAAAGAAATTCTATTTAAATTATAATTTAGAAATTTTTAGAAGCATTTTAACACATTCAGCATGGGATGATAACCGGTTTCAAGGTACAAGGTCAAGATTTTCAAAACTCAAGGTTTTAAAACCGCCAAAGTTTACTGTTATACCATTCCTAAAGTATATATAAGTTTTTTTTAAACCATGTTTACCACAACTATTTAATTTAGTTTTAAGTGCAACAGTATCTTTAGCAGAAAAAGAACCTCTACATCAAAAGCTACTGCTCCAAAATATTTTAAATGTTTCCTAAAATAAAATATATTGTGTTCAAGGGGGGAAAAGTGTTTACAATACTGTGATACTGTGTTATTTTTATCCAAGGTTATCATATCGTCAGAATCTTACCCCGGCCTATGCCTAATATGAAATCAATTAGTTCAATAAGTTTATTCAGTTTAGCAAACCATAAATGATGACAAAGCGGTTACTGATGCACATCTAAACCACAATGGACTTTTTCCGTGATGCTTATCCTCCCTTGAGCTTTTGTGATTAATTTGTATGTGGTTAATGTTGCAAACCCAAAAGTTATTTGATCCTGTCTCTCAAAAGATAAAGGCCACAGCAGCTGAGGAGAAAAGAATCCAGCAACAGATCTTGGTCCAGCAGAAGAAGGAACTGACCACCTTCTTGGACACCCAGAAAAAGCAGTACAGACTATGCAGAGAAAGAATGAAAGAGGTGTGATCAGAACAGTCTAATTCTGCAGGCTTTTATATCCAGTTGAACAAGGCCGTTGCAATGATATATTACTATATTATGCAGAGATATTTTGCAGTAAAGCGCAGTGCTTTTTTTTTGTCTGTATGTAATAGGAAATGAATGAAGACTTCGATACACCAAAAGAGGAGAAACAAGAGCGCTTGTCACGGCATAAGGAAACAATGCAGCGCTCCCAGGCTGAGGAGGAGGCCCAGCTGTTGAACCAGCAAAGACTGGTTTACGAAAGGAGCTGCCGTGCTCTAAAAAGAAGAAGCCTTATCAAGAAGCACGAGTTTGAACAAGAGCAAATACGGGAGGCAAGCAATAATATTAGTCACCATAAAGAACGTCTTAAGTCACTTGTTTTGCTCCTGACTATTTTGATTTAGTAATTAAATTATAGTTCTTTTCAATTTAAGGGTCAACCAGATTTTTTTTGTTTTGATTTTAAAAGTAGATTAATGATCCCCAAGGCTGTTTTAAAAAAACAAAACAAAACAAAAAAAACAGTTTTTAATAAGAGCACAACAGTCAGATTATACATGCAAAAACATGATTTATATATTTTTATAGGGAAACCCTTCAAATATTGAGCTTGAAAGTTTTAATACATTTTATATGCTTTTAATAAACTCATTTGTTCTCTATAATACACCTTTTTAATGTGTTTAACAGCTAAATCGGTGCTAAAAAAAAACGGCCTATGGAACCATATAGAACATCAGACTACATCCTAAGAGAGACATTTAGCTCCGCCCACTTTAATGAAGTACTGTGAATGCGATAATCAAGCTTGTCTCAATTATTTTTTAAAAATACTTTGTTTATATGCATATCTAGTGATACATTTAAAATATACTCTTTCCACTAATTCCTTGCATCTATATAGTGCTTTTCTAAACACTCATTGCGTTTTACACATTTTTTAAGGGTGGGGGGGTGGGATGTGGTGTCTACTCAATCAACACCAGTGTGCAGCATCCACCTGGATTACGCGAAGGCTGCCATATTGCGCCAGACCGCACACCACACACCAGCTGATTGGTGGAGAGAAGACAGTGATGAAGCCAATTATGATCTTGGCATGTTTAGGCCATGATGGACAGTGGGAAAATTTGGCTTAAAACCCCTACTCTTTTTCGAAGGACATCCTGGGATTTTTAACGACCACAGAGAGTCGGATTTAACATCTCATCCGAAAGATGGCGCCCACTGAGCAGTATAGTGTCCCCTTCACTATACTGGGGCGTTACGACCCACACAAACAGGTTAAGCACTACCTGCTGGTCTCACTAACACCACTTCCAGCAGAAACCCACCTTTCCCATATAGTCTCCATTCCAGGTACTGACCGGGCACAGCCCTGCTTAGCTTTAGTGAGCGACCATGTGAGAGTTGCAGAGTTATTGTATTGTTATTGTTATTGTAGTGCTACTGTATTTACTTTTTTGTTTGATGTTCATATACTTATTTGCTTCGAATCAAATTTGTAGTGTTGTGATTCACTCCGTAGCTCGTTGATTTGCTTCGTTACTTACAATGCATTAAAGTTACATTTTCCTCATGAAAATAAAAATTCCTCATGAAAATACAAATTGGAAATATCTACAGCGCTGATGAATGTAAAGTGCAGTTTATGTCTTTGATAGCTAATCTGAATGTCCACCATCATTACTTCAGTTTTCAGTATCATTTGCTGATTGGTTCTTAAGCCACAATTCTTATTATCAAGTTAATAACAATTGTTCTTTTTTTTTTTTTGTGGAAACCACATTTTGTTCAGCATTCCATGTTAAATAGAAAGCTCATAAGAACAGTATTGATATGAAATTGATTTTTAAAGAAATATTTTGAAAGCCAAGTTTCCAAAATCTCAAAAATACAGATTTTAACATTTACACTTATCCTTTTCTAGAAAACGAATCCTATTTTGTCTTACAGCTATTAAAATATTATTCACATGTGACTTGTTTTTTGTATTGAAGGAGCTTAACAAGAAGAAGATGCAAAAAGAAATGGAGCATGCATTGATGATCAGACAGGATGAGTCCACGCAAGAGCTGGAACAGCGGCAACTACAAACCTTACAAAGGCTACGCTTCGAGCTGATGCGGCACCAGCATCAAACTGAGCTGGAGAACCAGGAGGAGTACAACAGTCGACGGCAGAGGGAGCTACACAGGAAGCATGCACTGGAACGCCGACAGCAGCCCCGGAACCTGAAGGTAAATACATATAATTTTGAAGTCAGAATTTTGAGCCCCCGTTTCAATTTTATTATTTTTTATATTTCCCAAATTATGTTTTACAGAGCAAGGAAAAGTATTTTTTCTTCTGGAGAAAGATTTATTTGTTTTTTATTTTGGCTAGAATAAAAGCATTTTTTTAATTTTTAAAAGAGATTTTAAGGTCAAAATTATTAGCCCCTTTAAGCTTCATTTTTTTTCAACAAACCATCATTATACAATAACTTGCCTAATTACCTTAACCTGCCTAGTTAACCTAATTAACCTAGTTATGCCTTTAAATGTCACTTTAAGCTGTATAGAAGTGTCTTGATAATTATCTCGTAAAATATTATTTACTGTCATCATGGTAAAGATAAAACAAATCAGATATTAGAAATGAGTTATTAAAACTATTATATGTGTTGAAAAACTCTGCTCTCCATTAAACAGAAATTGTTCAAAAAAATTTGGAAAATTTGGGAAATTGTGGAAAAAGAGGGGCGAATAATTCTGACTTCAACTGTATATTTATTTAAACATATTCATTGGAAAAAAACGTAAAATAACAGTGAAAGAACAGACAATACAGATGCATTACAAAACTGTCCATTGTGTTCTAGACACTGGAGATGCAGATCAAAAAGCAATTCCAAGATACCTGTAAGGTGCAAAACAAGCAGTACAAAGCTCTGAGGAACCATCAGCTGGAAGTCTCCCCGAAGGGTGACCACAAAGCCATCCTGAAGTCTCTAAAGGAGGAACAGACCCGCAAGCTTGCACAGCTGGCAGAACAATACGAGCAAAGCATCAATGAGATGATGGCCTCACAATCGGTAAAGTACACAAGCACCATGAGAGAATGATGTTGTGGCAGTCAAATCAAATTAGGGCCGAATGGCATCTTAGGTTGTAAACAAAAACCTCCCATCAAGCATTTTTTGTGACAACATCTTGGCTAAAACTAGGCTCAATTTGGACTGTCAGTAAAAATCTAATAGACATCTAGCAAAACCAAAAATAGACCAGCCATTAAATAGACAGTTTCGACTTCACCCATATAGTCATTTATTCATGTCTATTTGACGACTAGTCTATTTTTGGACTATTGCTAGACGTCTGTCAGATTTTCACTGACAGCCCAAGTTTAGCATTATTTAAGCCAAGGCGTCTATGTTCAATTCAATTTAATTTATTTATTTTCATGTGCAGAATAAGGAAATACGTTTCCTTTTACAATGAAATTCTTACTTTGCCGTCCACAGTGTCATACACATAACATATACATCATTCACAACACACAGATATATACAAAGAAGTGACGGAAGTATAATAATAAAATGTTTATATCTATGAATGTAAATAATATATAATACTGTATGTGGAGTAATGTAAACAAATGTAAACGATGTATAAGAGTTCTTAAATTTGTGCTTACTATGCAAAAAAAAGTGCCTAGTGCAGTTGGCTTATGTGCAAACAACAGGATAATGGCCGGGGCAGATTGAGTGCAATTGTATGCATTAATAGTGCAAACTGGGATGGAAAACTGATGTTTAGATGCCGTTTAAACACAGAATTGCTTTGTGGGTTTGGACTTGCTGATAAATGTTTTCAAATATGCAGTATAACACTGAATGTGTTAGTCTAGGGCTGTATCTGAAACAGTCTGCCTATACCCTCATTCGCTATTCCCTACAATAGTCCACTGATATAGTCCACAACGTCAGTTTTAGCTGTACTTAAATCTACATTTATTTATAATTCTCTTAGACCACGCTTTCACAACTAACATATCCTATTGTTCAATCTTGCAATGCTGTTAGATGGTAGATTTTGTACCTATGCATGTACTTGTTAAATTTAAGAACTTGCCTTAAAGCACAGCATCTTGTTTTAGTTAAAAAAATAAATAAGAGTTAAGTAAATTGCCTAAAATATTTTTTTCTGTGATTATAGTATATATTGATCCTGCGGTTTCCTGCATAGTTCTGCTCCAACTTCATTCAACACACCTGCCTGGAAGTTTCTAGTTTACATAGAAAGAGCTTGATTAGCTGCTTCAGGTGTGTTTAACTGGAGTTCGAACTAAAATATGAAGGACACTGGCCCTCCAGGACCAAATTTGGGCACCCCTGGTCTAGGTCACGTATTATTTAAGTCTTGATTTTGAGCTCGTCAGTTTTGTATTTTGACAAACCTTGGCCAAGGGGGTTGGACTTTGCACATCACATACAGGAATTTCTCATTTACTTCCCATCTCATCAATGTTGAAAAATACTGGTTATTCTGTTTTAACCATTCAAAGATTTGAAGCAGTTTTTTTGTTACAATTTTGAGTTTTAAACAAACTTTAATAATTATGAATTAATAAGTATAATTATGAAACAAATTATTTCATCGATTCATGTTTGAAGCTTGTGTTCATTCATAAAATATTCTGAACTGGTCCTGTTTCTGGGCTTTGCTTGTGTGTTCAAATATCTGTCTGCTTCATTAAAGATAATAGTCAGGAGTGTTGGACCATTAGCTTATAAGGAGAGGACACAATCAACTAGTCAGACACTAGAATGTGTATTGTGGAATGTGTGAAGTCTTTCAAACAGGTCAGTTTGATTAGGATTGTTTTTCTTTAAGATTATTTGGATCGAAAACTCATTGATTGTCTGATTTAGAATGCAAAATCCGAAATGCCCCTCTATTGCGATGCCACACAGAGTGTAGATATAGACAAACACAATGTAGACTATTATGACTGAACATAGCTACAGAGATAAACATTTATTGCACCACGTTTTGTAAATACAGCATTAAGAATTTATATGTGAAGAGTTCAAAACCCTCTCAGGGCTGTCTGAAATGTTTGTCTAATATCTCTACTTTAAAAACAATAAAGGAAACTACTATTTGCCAAAAAAAAAGTAAATAAAAAAAATTAGGAAAAGTTCAGATGGAAATTCTTCTTATATTTATACATTTCATGAAAATATGCGTTGTATGATTATCATTATTGTGTGATGATTTGCCTAAAGGCCTACACAAGCAGTATCACCTCTAAAAAACAGCTTTAAATGTTGTTTACTATTGTTCAGACAGTGTGTAGAATAACTTTTGTTCTGATACCCAAAGGCCCAACATTATATTTCCCTAAAAAATTCCTAAAATGTACTTAATGCAAAAACACACTTATTTCTGTATTAGAGGCCTTTAATAATGCCTAATAATGGCATTAATAAGTGATTTAAATTATTTTTTTTTTTTTGCTGTATAATTAAGTCTTTCAGGGTTAAATGACTTGTGAATCAGAGCACCGAGTGCCCTGGACAGAATGCCTTCTGTCATTCATACAAATGTTTAATCGAACAATAATTTATTTAGAAACTTACACTGATAGGATTGTTCTGTGGATGCCATCTTGTGGTTATATGTGGAAATTACTTTGACATGCAAACTGTCTGTGAATTATAAGTATTCTCTTGCAAAAGAGTGTACATTGGTTGTACACATTATGGCAATGCGTTATGGGATTGATTAGGTGTACTTCAGGCTGTCCACTTTACACTGTAAAACCCAACAGTGAACTTTATCAAATGAAATGAGTGTAGTTAACTCAAAATTGACTGAAAGTGAATTCCACTCATTTGAAAAGAGTTTTGAACTCAGTGTGGAAGGTAATGAGCTAATAAAATACCTCATTACGTCAGCTTAAATAGAGTAAGTTTACAGTACTCATACAGATTTGTTTTGTAAATTTTTAATTCAAGTGGTTTCTTGCAATCGGTTTCCTCACACTGTTTAAGTTGCCTTAACTTGGGTTTTACAGTACTCAGTTGGTTTAAGTTCTCTTCATTTATTGGTTTTACTGTGCTCAAATGGCTTTGTTTACTCAAATGGATTAAGTGCACAGTACTTATTAGGATTAGTTTTTGAACTTAAATGGTTTGTTGCAATCGGTTTTCTCAAATGGTTTGAGTTACTTTAACTTTTTGGGTTTTACAGTGTAGTTTTGAACACCACAACAAATGGCTGCTCCATCAAATAGGGCACCATTTGCACACTATGGGTGGATTCCAATCTGAAGGCCTCGTACCTGTGAACTAATACATTTGAAGGGTCCCGCTGAAGGGATTAGAGCATAGGGATGAATCCTTCTGAGTTGATTGCAGTATGTGACACCAAACAGCTTCCTTGCTTAAAGGATAATTTTCCCAAGAGTCCATCAGTTGTATTTTTCAAACTCCTTCGTTCCAAAGGGCCTTTCAAAGTGGCCAGTTTTGCAATGACACTTCAATATGGCAGCCATGATTTTTTTCACTTCGAAGTGCCCTTTGGAGGGCGATACTTCTTGTTTGGAATGCACTGTATGTCTGCCGACATTGACTGTGCGTTCTATGCGTTCTTAAGTGATATTTTATCCTTGTGTATCATCATGACCAACCACCAAAGAACCCACAAGTCATTGTGGCTAAATGAAAGAGTGAGGATGCCCAGCATTTTATATTCAATATTATTTACAGTTCAGAGATATAGCCTAACATGTTTATCTCAAGAGTTTTCATTAAAGCGATAGTAAAAATATATACTTTTTTTATTTTTTATAAAAAATTTTTTACAGAATTTTAGTATAGGCATAAACACATGGAATGGTGTTTGGTGAAACTCATATTAAAATCTATTTTATTTGTGTTGTGATAAGTATCTTTGTAAGGTGTTTGTACATGTTATATATATTAAAAAGAAAAAAAAAACTAGCAAACAATAAATCAGTGTACTAATGTTGTAATGTTTAAATTATTTCTCATGAAACTTTATGAAGGTCATGTAACCAACAGGAAGATCATCGAATCTCATTTCCCACACGATGCTTTCTGTGTTCTCATGGTCTTCCGAGTTTGTTCTTCCGAGTTAACTTGGCAGGATTGGTCTCAGTAACCCTAAGTTCGTTCTCTGCATTCTTAGTGTTGAGAAACATCTTATGTCATGCAGAATTCAGCTCTGATTTTAATCAAATACACCTCAACAATCTCCAATAATTTACCACAATAACAAGTGAACAACCAGTGGCTAGAAAATGGTAATAATTTTAGAGTATGGTGCCCAAGATAGTGCCCACAGCTGAATCCTTTTTGTTTTCTAGTCCACTAGTCCACTAGCAAAAGTCTAATATCATGCGAGTTTAAGTTTCTTTTAAATTTGATCAGCAATCTGTTTATTCAATTAAAGCTAATATAAGTAGAACAATTCATTCATAGTATTTATTCATTTTGAATCAGAACGCAACCAGACAGGTGTATATATTTTTCAGGTATAGCTATACGGGTATATAACTTTTCTAGAAATAAGAAAAGAACTAAAACCAAATAAATGAAAGTAATATAAACATTAAAACAACAAGAACTAAATACAAAAACATCTTATAGTTGTTACAATATTATGATATTGTAATTATTGTAATTACTTTTCTTGAATAAGACACTTGATAAAGTACAGATCCAACCTGTGGAGGATGCTTTCTTCCGAACGACAGCTTCTAAAAATGTTTACAGATGTGTATTGGGTGTAGCATATGCATGACATTGGTCTTGCAGGAGCAGGATTGGTTTATGTAATAACATGTATTTTCTTTGGAAATGCACAGAACATGTTTAATTGTTCAAAAGCCCTTACCTTCCCCATAAGGCAGCAACTGGCTTAAACCATTTAAGAGGTTTCCCTCTAGTGGCTCTGCTAGGATCTTCCTTATAATAGAATTTGAGCAACTAGACTCTCTCAACAAAACCAAATATTGTACTTAAAACATCCTCCTCCGAATGAACAATGTTTTAGTATATACATGGTATAAAATTATATATATATATATATATTTTTTTTTTTTTTTTTTTTTTGGAAATTGTAACTTAATTTGATTGTTTTTGTATTTAGGTGTTGTTTTAATGTTTATATTACTTTCATTTATTTGGTTTTAGTTTTTTCCTATTTCTAGAAAAGTTATATACCTGTATACCTATACCTGAAAAATATATATAACTGGCTGGTTACGTACTTATTCTAAAAGTATAAACCAAGCATGGTTACTAAAATAGGTAAAAATGTGCTGAAAGAGGTGCTATCCTAATGATGGGGACAAAATATTGTTAAAAATCATTGTACTGAAGACTCAGCTCTCTGTGGTTAGAAAAAAAATCTAAAGTGTTTTTGAAAAGAGTACAGCTGCCTCTGAACATTATCATAGCCTACTAATCATCCTCATATCTACGAAGTGGCTGCCTCATTTGGTCTCTTCACCGATGAGCTGGTGTTTTGGTGCACCATGGCTGCTATCCCTTTATCCTGGTGGACCCATGCAGCAAATTGGTGGTGGTTAAGTGGTGGTGGTTTTCACTCCAAAAAATAAGTAAAGCACCTTGAGTGTTGCTAAAAGTACAATATTAGCATGTTAGCACAATGTTAAAATTGTTGCGTCTTAAAATAATCAAATGTTTTAGATAATAATTGCAGTGTGCTACTCTTTCAGTTACGTTTAGATGAAGAGCAGGAGGCCGAATGTCAGGCTTTACGGCAGCAGCTACATCAGGAGATGGAGCTCCTCGATGCCTACCAGAACAAAACGAAGGCGCAGATGGAGGCCCAACATGAGCGTGAGGTGCAGAAGTTGGAACAGAAGGCGTCTTTGCGCCGGGCTCACTTGGAACAGAAGGTGAGTTGTTTTTTTGTAACCTCTGTAATTCACAGGTTCCGCAATACATCAGTAGTAAAAGTGTGACGATATCCTGCTGTTGAAAATGGTGCTTTACAAATCTTTAAAAATCACCAGATTATAGAATGAGCAGTATCTGCTGAATCCTGTTTACATTGTATGTGTGCTCGTAACTCTAAAGTGCAGGACTGCATACTCATATGTTATAGAAGCATGATACTGACTTTTAAAGATGAAAACTAGTGCTTTGTTCCAAATGAGAAAATAAAATGTTGGGCATAATTGACATATTAAGCACAATAACCATTTAAAACCATGTAAACAGAAAGCACTCAAGACAGTGTGTTTGGCTCTTCAGCTCTTTTAGCACCATTATTTGATGTTATCTTACTTGCCAACCCTCCCATTTTTCCCGGGATTCTCCCATATTTTACAATTCTAACCCACTATCATCCCGTAAACGTATTTTCCTAAATTTCTCCCATATTTTCAATCATTCTATGGAGAGTGGCAATAAACATTAAAGAGCCGATCCTCCCTACACTAAAAAAATAATGTCTGCAAAATTGCTGCAAACTATTTTTTTGTGTTGGATTTAAACAAACAAATGACATTTAGTAATGTTCAACTTAACATGTTCGATCACTTAACTTTAAAAACGTAGTAAATACAAGGAATCGTCTTTGAATATTTTTTTTTGTGTATACGCAACCAATACTTCCCAACCACCAGGGGACGCCCCTTGCTTTCTGGGCGCTTCTGTGCTTTCATTTTATTTAGGCAAAAAAAACACTTGGAAATAAATATAAAACAGTGGGATTTCCTTCCTTTGCATTACATGCACCGCTGCCCCTCTTATGCAATCCTCAAAACAGGTATGGGTCATATGCAACGAAAATTATTGAAATACCTGTTGTGCCTAATAATATTTACAAACACAGTTGGTAAAGACTTAAATGACAGTATCAAACAGAATCAAACAAAATACGTACTCTTCTCTACTAAATAACTCTTTTTCCTCCATTCATAATCAGAATTAAAATGAGCTTTATTTGTCAAGTGTGCGCAAACACACTAGTATTTTTGTGGTTTACAGGAGCTCTAGGAACAAATATATACAGTGCGTACATACAGTACATACAAATATAGATTTATACAAACAACCATACATACATACATACATGCAGTTCAGGTCAGAATTATTAGCCCCCTGTTTATTTTTTCCCGCAATTTCTGTTTAAAGGAGAGATTTTTCCAACACATTTCTAAACATAATAGTTTTAATAACTCATTTCTAATAACTGATTTGTTTTATCTTTGCCATGATGACAGTAAATAATATTTGACTAGATATTTTTCAAGACACTTCTATACAGCTTAAAGGGACATTTAAAGGCTTAACTAGGTTAATTAGGTTAACTAGACAGGTTAGGTTAAATAGACAAGTTATTGAATAACGATGGTTTGTAGACTATCGAAAAAAAAATTGCTTAAATGGGCTAATAATTTTGACCTAAAAATGGTTTAAAAAAAAAAAACTCCTTGTATTATAGCTGAAATAAAACAAAGAAGACTTTCTCCAAGAAAAAAATATTATCAGACATACTGTAAAAAATTAATGTTAAACATCAATTGGGAAATAAAAAAATATAAATAAATAAATAAAAAATAAATTAAAAGGGGGCTAATAACTAATAATTCTGACTTTAACTGTACATACATCAACACAATGACAAAACGACATTTAAATACTTACTGTATATATATATACAGTAAGTATTTAAATGTCGTTTTGTTTTTTTCACCCTGTTTATATTGAGGTATTTTCATTTAAAGTCAATGAGAATAACGTATTATTTTACATAAAAGTGAAACCTACACACAGGGGGTGAAGGAAAATGCTCATTTTAGATGACAATTTCAGATGGCATTTAGAGGCTTTGGCATTCATTTACAATTAAGTGCCTATATTTAAAACAATAAGCAGTAAGGGTTCTATATAAATATTCATGAGCAAAAGAAATTGGTAGAAACTGATGTGCTACCTATTTAAGTTGAATATGGCCTGAGGAAAAAAAAGTTTTTATGGCTAAATGGTTTAGTGCATAAAGATCTGTAGTGTCCCTGAGGAAAGACGTGTGAACAGTTGTTGGCCAGGGTGAAAGGGGTCTTAAATGATGTTACCTGCCTGTTATCTCATTCTGGAGATGTACCTGGAGCTTGGGCAGGTGCACACCATAATCCTCTCAGCTGTACCTTGCAAGCATTTTCTTGTTTTTAAAACATGTCTATCATGACTAGTTTTGGGCTATTCCTAGATGTCTATTAGATTTTTACTGACTGCCCTAGTTTAGCCTTGTTTTAGCCAAGATGTCTACGTTTAGATGTCTATAAGAAGTCTATTAAACACAAAATTGTTCGCTGGGTAATATCTGGCTGCAAAATGTCACAAAAAAATGTTTGCTGTTTGTTCAAACGACCTAATTAAAATGAGCTGAAACAACACAATACTTGAGATTTTTGGGGGGACAACTTAATTGTTTTATGTTCAATCCGCTTAAATTTGTAAAAACCAATAAGCTAACTTAATTCCTTTATGTTGCCCTAACCCAAATCTACTTTGTGGAACCCAGTATTTTTTAGAGGGTACACATGCAAGCTGAGACACAAGTCCCAGACATTCAGATTCTCATGCACTGAATAAAGCTAGTGAAGTCACTGTGCACAGTGAGGGGCAGGGTTAGGTGTACACATTAAAAGCATTGCATGAAGTCTCAACTTGCATGTGCAACCCAATTCCCTGACTGTCAGCTGCAGCCTTCCTATGTCTGATTTAGCTTTTTTGTCTTTAATAGCTTTAAATGTCACCTATTTTACCCCTTTTACAATATGTAAGCCTTTAATGTCTCCAGAATGTGTTTCTAAGGTTTCTGCTCAAAATAGCCATCAGATATTTTATTGTAATCTCCAGAATCTGCCCATTTTGGTGTCTGAATACATTGTAGCTGTTTTTGTAACCTGTGGCTTTAAATGAAAATAAGCTGCTTCTCCCCAACCACTGTTACATATTTTACTGTCTTTACTACAAACCTGCACTGTTTTAAAAATGTATTAAAACTTATAAAAAAATCACAGAGAGTTATGACAAATATTTTAATCCCAGTTTATTTGCAAATAAAAAATTCTGTGGACATGTGTATACACGTTATTATAGAAACATGGCACCTGTCAATCTATTGAAGGACAAGGAAAATCACACTCCTATGTAGGCATGGGCCGGTATAAGGCTCTTTACAATTTAAAACGCCATTTTTTGGATATATTTTCTGCTGGAGATACTGTTGTCTTTTTATTTTAGATTTCTTTTATCTTTGCCATTATAACAGTAATTAATATTTGACTAGATATTTTTAAGACACTTCTATACAGCTTAAAGTGACATTTAAAGGCTTAACTAGGTTAATTAGGTTAACTAGGCAGGTTAGGGTAATAAAGTTATAATAAAGAGGAAAGTTATTGTATAACGATGGTTTGTTCTGTAGAATATTGAAAAAATATATAGCTTAAAGGAGCTAATAATTTTGACCTTAAAATGGATTTAAAAAAATTAAAAACTGCTTTTTTTTCTAGCCGAAATAAAACAAATAAAACTTTTTCTAGAAGAAAAAATATTATCAGACATACTGTGAAAATTTCCTTGCTCTGTTAAACATCATTTGGGAAATATTTAAAAAAGAATAGAAAATTCAAAGGGGGACAAATATTTCTGACCAAGTATATATCACTTCACAAAATGGGTAGTGGAACATTTTTGAGCATAAAAACATGACAATTATTTGGCATTATGCTTTTGCACAGCTAACCAAATGACAAATATTTATGTTGCACAGGTATGCGATTTATTAACATATCATTTTTTAAAATAAAACAGTGCAGTTGCATGCTGGTCCATATGGAGAGTTCGGTTTTTTATTGAAACAATTCTTATTAATGAGGTGGATCATCTATTATTTGATTGCAGTTTAGGTTTTTGTTGAGGTACTGTACGATTCACTCTCAGTACTGTGATGTTGCAGTCATCATTTTGCTATGGTGACAACACTTTAATCAAGCCGCACATTTGGTGGCAGTAAAATGGATGGGATCTTGTTTGAGGAAATTGTCCACATCTCTGTTCACAGATTGAAGAAGAGCTGGCCTCACTTCATAAGGAACGAACAGAAAAAATCAAGCATTTATTTGAGCGCCAGGAGCGAGAACTGGAGATGTTTGATTTGGAAAGCGCACGGTTAGGATTCGGAAGCTTGGCCTCGTTTGACTTTCCCAAGGACGAGGCCAGATGATCCAACAGAAGCGGAGGGGACTGTTCAACGCTGATGTCTTTGGACACATTGTGCCTGCACTGTCCCTGATTGTTGGATTTACCAAGATCACCCAAACAGTGACCATGCTGGATCAATGTCTTATAACTCTTTATCGGCTGAAATTCTTGAACGAGCGGAGAAACTTAACAGCCACAGACACAAAAGTGGTTTGCTGGTGCATCATAAACCGAGACGAACCATCTAGACGAACCGACCTTTTCTCCATGCCATCGTCCCACTTTTGGTATTCAATTAGTAATTCAGGATATTTTAGTACAAGTAAGCACTTTGATATGTTAAGTACGATCCCATCATGTAAGGTGGATATGAAGTGTGAAATGCCTTTGGTGTCATCAAAGGACATTGTGACTGTAGAATGTGTCCTGCGTCTTCACCGTGGCTATTAGCTGTTTTGTACGTATCACAGCGAATGTGACAACTGTTGATGAAAACTTTGCGCAGAAGCCGATTTTGAAGCAGTGTCTCATTTGAAAATATGGTGACTACATTAAGAGCATCCGATTGATTTCATATTGTGGAACCCACGCTTTGTTTCTTTTGACTTAGGAGGGTAAAAAAAAGGGGGGGCGGGCAGGGGGCACAAAAAAAGTGTACTCATCGTTCAGTATCCTAAATGAATTGGCATTAGTTCTATATCCGGATGTGGATTTATGACATTAAATCAGTTCTGTCAGAGTTACTGGTATTATTGCATGCACTTTAAAAGACAAATTCAGGTTGTGAAGTGGAGCATGAATCTGTCCGAGATTTTAGCCGTGTACAAATAAAAGTGGTCATAGCAGTTTTGTTTTCATGGCTATTGATACTGAACATAAGCTTTATCTTTGATATAAATACCCGCCAAATTGCCAAATGCCTTTAAGTTCTGTTGATGAATGTTTTCGTTTTCCTTCTTTTGCACAATCTGTTGAATTGTGATTCATTCAGTGTGGACTTACCACTGCTCTTGTACAGGGAAAATGTTGCAATTTGTGTTGTACAAATTTTATATCAATATTTGTATATGATAACCTAACTAGGGTTTACATACTGTATGTATCGATCAATCATTGCCAACAAAGATCTATGGAGTTCAGCGAAGGCAGACGAATGCAAACTTATTTTTGTAAGTCAAATAGAAAGTAACTTATATTCTCGTGCATCATGTGACTGACAGCCTACACATGTCTGGTGGAGCTAAAATGCGAACACTTCTGTGTAACAGAGTTCATGGCTTGCTGTCATTAACGAAAGACGCCAGTCCAGCCACTAGGTTCGGTTGATTCTTGATTCACAACAACATGTACTTTATAGGCAGATTTGTGGTGTGTAATAAAAGATTCTTTGGGCCTGACCAACTACTATGTTTTATAAACTCTGACCTTTACCCCTATTATTCTCATATATGAGTGTCTCATAATGTTTGATCGGGATTTTCCCCCCCTGTCATTTAGGGCCTCTTCTCCGACAAAGCCATTGTTGAAACTGCCATTGCACAAATGAAGTGTTGTTTTAACAAATAAACATTAATGAAGTTTTGATTGGCTAATGGCATGCTGGGAAATACTGATCGTTTTTTTATATATTATAGAATGATATGTTCATTTATCTATTTTGAATGTTTGAGAATGGGCATTGTTCTTCAAATGCTTACGGTATTTAACCTCAATATGCCCTTCAGCAAATGTAAACATCATGGAAAAAAGTTCTTGTTCACAAGACCGCCTTTCATCTCAGCGTTTGTTATTTTCACATTTTACAATTAATGCAAGTTACTGTACGTAATCACATTACTTTTGGGGTAAGTAATAAAGTTAGGTTTTTTTTTTTAAAATAAGCAACACATGTTATTTTGTTTTTCCTTTTACTGACAGACAAACCTCCAGGTCCTGTGTTAAAAGAAATGATGATTATTGTAGAGCAAGAGTGTCAAACTCTGCACAGCATCAACACACTTACCTGTAGGTTTCAAACAAGCCTGAAGAATTCAATTAGTTTGATCAGGTGTGTTTAATTAGAGTTGCAACTAAACTGTGCAGAGCTGCGGCCCTCCAGGAACTCAGTTTGACCTGTGCTGTAGACATATGTGAAGATGCACATACTCATCTCACTTGCAAAAAATAAAAATAAAAAACAACCTGATTTAGTAGAGCATTCATTAAAATGAAAAAAAAATAAATAAATAAAAAATAAAAGCAGGAATAATGTTAAAAAAACAAAACAAATCGTTTTTTTTGCATTTAAAAATCATTGTCTTTACTGCTGACCTTCGATGATCAAGTTCTATAAAAAAGACTTAGGATAAACATTATATTTGTGTTCTTTCTTCTTTATTATTACTATTATGGCATACGTGTTGAACTTTTCTCTACTGCGTCCTTCATGCAATCTATAAAGGCAGCAAAGCTTAAAAGGTTTGTTTGAGCTGCGCCCTCTGCTGACCAAATGTCTCTAGTCACTCATTTTTACTAATGGTGTAACCTGACTTATATTTGCAAGAAAAAAAGTAACTTTCTAGTTTTAAAAATAGACACAATAAATAGTTTCTGTTAGTTTAATACAATTGAAAAAAATATATATATATTTATACTTTGTTTTATACGATAAAGAATTGGGGATTGAATTCATTTTAATGACATTAAATTTAGAAGTAAATCTATGCAGTTTGTTGCTGCATTTACTAGCATTTTTTTAAGAAGCTGATTTCTTACAGCAACTATTAAAAAAGAATTAAAAAATTACCTATAATTGACCTAATCAAAGCAGTACCATCACAAACTTATTTTAACCTTTATTTGTGATTCTTTTGTATTCATTTGTCAATAATAACACTATTATGGGTAAACTAATAATAATAATAATTATAATTCAGGGGGCTAATAATTCTGACTTCAACTGTGTATATGCGGATATTTACCATATTGAATACAACTTGGCTGAACACTATTTTAACCATTAAACTCTAAATGTACAAAGACATGATTTTAAACGTCCATGGCCTTCATATTATCATATTCATACTTTGCCCACTTTAAATGTATGTAAATTATGTGCTTTATTTCTTTTCTATATATCTTCTAAACTTGCAATCATTTTAAAGTCATTTTGGTTAACAAGAAAGCGACTCATGCAAATTGGGATGTTTCATAAGAAAATAACGTGTCTTCACCGTATTGTGACTTCCAAAAACACATCTAAAGTACTTGAACGCATCTCTCTTGAAGAAAAGAAAAAAAAAAACATTGACTTTTTACTTGCTCATTGCAGAAAAGAAAAAGTGCCTTATGTTTAACACTACATCTAATACAGTGAACATTTAAAGATGGCAGTGAAAAAAGAGATTATTTAAAGACAAGAAAAAAACTGTTGAAGTATTTCACTTCAGATGTCACTTACACAGGTATAACATAATAACAGTCATTATTGAAAGGCCTTTAAAAACCTTAATAAAACGTAAGACCATCTATAATTGAAAGAAGTCCAAAAACAATCCATACATAATGTTTCATGAAACTAAAATGCTTATGTCCAGCCATAACATAATGTCCAGGATAAGACGTAGACGCGTCTTTGACTTAAGACAGAACTTCCATCACCATGTACAGCTATATAGTCTGTTTATAACTGTTTGCTTGACTGACGTCACGGTACATTGCGGAAGAATATACAGTCATTTCACTGACCACAAGACGGCGACATTTCTTATTTAAAACACCGTCAAGAGCTCAACTTAATTGTGCTGGTTACATTTTTAAGCAAAAGGTTGACCTTACTATAAAAGATTAGTTAACCTTTATAATCTTTAAGTTGATTTAACCTAATTCTTTTGCACATACAGTCATTTATTTAAAAAATTGGCAACAGTTTTACTGACTTTTTTAGGTAAAGTCAACTAATTGTTTTACAAGCAACAGGTTTACTCACTTATTGTAAGTAAAGTCTACTAAACATTGTTTTCCACTATGTAGTAACATTACATTACAAATGATTGTCATTTGTGTTACAGTGTAAATTATGTTAATAAAGTAACACACAAAATATTACGTTAAATATTTATGAATTTAACTAGCACAAATTTTTTTCCCCAAATTCCAAAATCTATACAACAAACAAAAAGTGTGTTCGCTGGGTTCAGTCTGCAATTTTCTGTACACGCAAGGAATCCATAATGATCACATTTATCACTGTATATAGCTAAATTTAATAGCACATGTAATAAAAAAGAGATATCTATAATTGCACTTATATTTAGGTCAGAGCAATTTATCAATGTACGTATAAAATGAACCAGTGCTCATGTAAAAATGATAATACAATATTTGATCAAAATAAACTATTTAATCATTTGTAATCCAAGAGTTCAAAAATTATAAGTGTTGAGAAAATGTTTCCTTGGGTTACTTTGGGCTAAAAATGAATGATAAATCACGTTTTGATAAATTAAGTTTAATTTTATTACATATTGTGTTATTCAGAGATGCAAACACGATGCAGACATCTCAGACATATGATCTGCATGCAATGCTTTTAATGAGCACACATAACCCCGCCCCTAACCCTACCCATCACAGTGACGTTACTAGCTCCATTGAGTGCATTGTGACTGAGACTGCATGGTATATATACTTATATTGTATACACTGTTTATGGATTTAATAATAATAAACAATAAAAATAAAAAAAACGATAAGCTAAGAAAATAAACTCAGCTTGCATATGCAAGTCTGCTGTAGATACTATTGGGTTTTCATTATACATTTTGTTTCTAATATTAAGTAATCTACAAGATTATATATTTGTATTAGCCATAAGTAGGGCCAGACAGAATCTGCAAACATTTTTGGAAAATTTTGTAAAAAATCTGTAATCAGACCCTTAAATAAAACTTAATTATATAAAATACAATTTAAATCCAATTAGATCCACGTAAACAAAGCAAGTCTGTCATATAAAACAAATAAACTAAAAGACAGAAAATATCACTTTACACTGTATTTGTAAATAAATCATCAAACACTTTCTTACACACATTTACACAAGTAAATAAATAGACTCAACGATGGGCTAAATATCTGCGTATTTCAGCATTGACATATTCTGTGTGGGCCTAGCCATAAGATAAGTGAAAATATCTTTTGTTCAGAGTCCAATTGTTTCTGCAGGATGGGCCGATCTGTTCAGTGTTCATTTTCTTCACACTTGTCTCATTTTATCTTTAAGCTGTTTAAACAAGTTCGTAATTAATAATTAACATTTTCAGATGTTTTACTTATGTTTTTCCCTGCAAGGTTTCTACATGAATCCTGCATGTTCCCTAACAGGAGTCCTAGCAAAGTGGTCCCAACAAACGGTGGGATCCTGCAAAATTAGAGGAAGATTTTTAGTAAGTCTTACAGTTACAAACACAAAACAATTCTGTCAAACATTTGCTTCTGCTTTATCTAAATCCATCTTGACTCTCTGTTGGAGCAGCAGACAGAGGCCAACCTGCTTCCATCTCTTGAATTCAGAGCACATGTGCTGTATCTGGCTAATTTGATTCACAGGAGTTTACATGTTGTTAAACATTAATCAGGTATGATGGGTTAATAAGAGTTTTCTTCACTCTATAGTATAAGTTAATCAAAAGAATTATACCAGCTGATTTTATGGTTCAGCTAAACAAACAGCATGCTGCTACATTTTTTTGAATGCTCCCTTTTTTGGAATTTCCATTAATGTGTCACATGTCAATGCTTAGAATTGACTCTGTACATTATACACAAATTAATATAAGATTTAAATTCAATATATTAAAGTGTTAACGTCTCCAAAGAGTCAGGCGACATTCTGATATTTAACCAAGAATGTTGCTTTCTAACTCTATTGCGCCCTCCAGCGGAGGACTTTGTGTCTGCATTGGAAATAGGTGCTGGTAAGGAGTGTAATGTTTCCTTACTCACAGATTCACTAGACGACCACACGAGGGAGCTTGCTAAGATTTCTAAATAAAAGCAGATGATTTGTTTTGGATCCCTTTATACAATTCTCTCTAAAGATTACACGCTCAGAAAATAATATAATTCTAATGATTAGACCATTTAAACTAATTCCTCAGTACTTAAAATGCAATAATAAAATACGTAAAGAATTCATTTAAAAATTAAAAAGCACATCACCATTAAGATTATCTTTTTATTATCTTCATAATGTTTTACTATTCTAAACTGTAGTTGTTGGACTTAAATGGACTTTTTCTTCTTGCATATCTACATTTAATTTTCTGAAACATTAAAAAATGTTTAAGTATAAAACATACACTGGCATGTATTAGGTTCATATGCCACTGTTAAATAAAATATGACTTTATCCTTAAGTTACATTAAGGCAGTTAAAGAAATGAGACTGCCTATAAATAACTTATGCACAGCTTCTGCAACAGTCCTTTTATGACCTTTAGAATATTTTAAAGGAGTACTAGTCTTTGAAACCTTACAACCAAGCTGCTATTAATCTATTCAGTGCATTCAGAAAACTGAATTTGTAATATGCGCTATTAATATATGTTTTTAACA